TACCCTCCTTTTGCAACAATATCTAGCCGCCGGCTTTGGGTTCGCATTTTTTGTTTGTGATTTGTTACGTTGACCTTTTGGCATTCGAATAAATGTTTTACTGGCGGAATGGCGTGGGCGGATATTGATTGAGAGTTAACAGACTTGGAATGACGTTTGATAGATGAGGGGATGTGGATAGAAGATTGGCATTTGGACGAGGAAGGGCAGCATTGTAAGCGGGGCATTGGATGATGGTTGTTGCAGATTGTGATGTTGGCGGGTGATGTGTTGTTGTAGATGATCTGACCGCGCGAATCTAAAATTTTCGCGGTTGTTTCGGTATTTTGGAAGGTTTTGGGGCGCAATTTCGGTGGGTATTTCGTCTAGCCATTGTTTCTCGGGCATTTCGTGTGCTGATTTGGAAAAAATAACTCGACTGATGCAATTTCATTTCCGTTGAACTTTTTGGGTTCTTTTCGGCGATAATTTTCGCTTTATCTACGCTTGAGCTTTCTCCTTAGCGCTACACTATGGCGTAGGCATACAATTAGCTGATTTTCTTCATTTTGTTTCACCGAGGCTAATTTAACTTACCCCTGGCTAGCTTAATTGGCGTCTGAGAGCGCTGTCGATAATCTTTTAGAGTCGGAACTTGGGCCCCGATTAAAATACGGCCCTTTTTCTCTATGATTCGCGGCACTGACCTCCTGTGACAATGTGGACATACATGACGCCTTTCCCCGGTATGCGATCTGAGATGCCGTTGCAGTTGATCGGAACGACCGAAGGCCCGTGGGCAACCCGAGAATGTGCACACGAATGGACGCCACCCAGCGTGCGATCTGCAACAGCAAGCCGGTAAATCTGCGTTTTCGATGTATTTTACAGGGCGCGCCGTAAAAAAATGGATTTTGGGTCGAATATCTTGCGAACGAAAGCGAATCGGACCGAATTCCGGTCACTTAGCCTAAAGCCCGTTTACCCTAAAGCCCCTTTATTTTGGGCCATTTTCATAGCTGAATTTTTGAAAAAAGTCGGCAATTTTCGAAATTCGTTGAGCTGCTTTGTACGTTTTTAAAGATAGTTCTTGAAATTACCTCCAAAACGTGATTTTACCAGGAGTTTCCTGAATTATGTTTTTATAATGATAAAACATATATATTTCGAAAATGGGGATTTTTTTGGTCAAAAATGCGGCATTGAAAACGGTCAATAATTTCCAGAACCCCTGCTGGGCATGAAGAAATAGCACAAGTTATTGTTAGGATTTTTACGCGGTGCTTTTTACGCTAATTTTTCAACACAACTTGTGCTATTTCTTAATGCCCGGCATATTTAGGCGTGCTGACATGGCAACGACGGTCCGATTCGTTTCCCCTAGCGAGATATTTTGACGCAAACTTCACTTTTTTATGACGCACCTGTAGTTTGGTGCCCGGGCCAGATGACGCAATGCTAATACCTGAGATGGGCCTTCAGATGGCTAGTCTTTCGATATTTCTTGGTGCATCCATCGTGATGGCAGACATGTTCGAGCACTTTTCCACCTCCACGACCACAATTCGGGCATTCACAGCGCAGGGAGGGCCGATTGGACATTGGCGAGGGCCGAGACTGGAAAATCGCCTTGATTTTGAAGGGATGGACAGAGTTTCGATTTGTTTAACCTGCTCGAATTCTAGGAATTCGTAAATTTGTTTAACTCTCTTTTTGAGTGTGAAAACCAGGCTGTTCTGGCAATTCTACGCCAATATAGCTTCCAGAAAGCCTAGAGAGACGATTGCAAGGCGTGCGAGAAAATTACAAAAAACAGAACAAAAAAAATTTTAGAGAAATTCCGGAATTTGGGGCTAATTCTGGCGGGTTTTTCAGGTTTTCGCCGCTCACCTCAGAGAGTTCTCCCTCCGAACACCCAGAAGACGTCGATGGGGTTGGGGCTGAGCCGGGAGAAGCAGCTGAACTGCTCGGCGACGCTCTATCCTCCCACGGGCGAAATATTGGCATCGTCGAGTGGGGCGGGTAGGTTTTTGGATTAGTGGTTTAGGCACAGAATAAAGGGCCGGCTAGCAGAGGCAATTTGCGGACGGTTGGAGTAGAAAGTAGAATGGGTAATGACCGTATCGGCTGCGAGAGAATCCCCCGGTCCTTTTCATTCCCTTCCCAATACGGCCTTTCATCTTTCCGTCTGGCGGCCCTGATGAAAGGGCTTAAAACGGTGTCTCCCCTCCCTTCTTATTTTCCTAAATAAGATAAGAGTAGGAGGGGAGGGGGAGGAGGTGGAATGGGCTCTATAGGGTGGAGACTGTCCCCGATTTATGGCCTGCCACCGACACATTATTCACCCTCAAAAATAATACCCGGAAAGGCGAACAAACCGCATTTAAACCCCCCATGAAAACAATGAAAAGAAAAAGAAATAAAACCATAAAAAGCGCTAATTCCATGTTTGGTGCTTTTGCATTATCAGGGGGGAGGGGCTAATTTTCTCTCAAAACTCCAGAAATCACAATTAATTTAATAATTCTTAGTAAAATTTAGCCATATTTCAGGTAAAAAACCATTCAAAAACCTGGAAAACATTTTTACAATCGAAATTTTGATGGAAAATCGATTTTTTTGCGTTTTTTAAGCCAAAATTTGCCAAAAAAACCCACAGGACACTGTAAAAATTGGATCTTAATGAAAACTTGCCTCCCCCGATAATGCAAAAGCACCTAATCGAGAATCGGAAATAAACCGGGAAATGTCGAAAACTGTGCAAAATTAAGAAACAATAAAAATCGAGCGATAATTCTTTATCGGGACAATAGAAAGTGGCTAATCTCTACAAGTGGTTGGCTATTTGTTTGGGGTGTTGATGTGCTGCGGCGTCTCGTTTGTATCGCCATATCCGAGTGTATTCCAGTCGTCTCGATCCATCAACCCATTCTCCATTCGACATTTGAAATATCCACGGGCCAGATCTCGACATTCCGTGTTCTTTTGCTTCTTCTCGTGCAGGCAACACATGTAACTGAAACAAAACGGGTTCTTTAGGATTCGCGGGGGAGGAACCATTTTTTTTGGGCACAAGCCAAGATTTTTTTACATAATTAGTGGAAGCTTTTCTAAATTGTTTATAGCTATTCCTAAGCCTATAAACTTTACAAAATTTAACTAAAAAATTTAATTTTAGGTCGAAAAATCAATTTTCGGCTCAAAAATTACCCAATTTTCGACTTTTTTCAAGCGTTTTCTATAAAGTTTTTCCGATTCAAATAGGCTTAAATTTTGCTAAAAACAATGTGAAAACACTTTATATTTGATTACTATCCCCACAAGAGCCGCCAGGAAAAAAATGTGGTCCCCCGCGAATCCTAAAGAACCAAAAAAGGACATGTAAAAACAGTTTCCAAAAACCAGGTTCTTTTCGATTATCGGGGGGGAGGGTTACTTCTTTTGCCACAAGTCCAGAAGTAAAACGTGTTTTAATAAGCTTATTAGTAAGTTACGTATATTTGAAGCTGGAACTAGCTAAAAACCTTTCCAAAACGCGAAATTTTGGTAAAAAAATCGGCTATTTTTGGTCGAAAAATCACATTTTTTGTATTTTTAACAAAATGTGTAACTTTCTATATATTTCGTAATACTAGAAGACATTTAGAAACAGAAAAACTTGGTCCCCCCGCTAATGCGAAAGAACCAAAAAGGTTTTATGAAATGAAAAACACGGTTTTATCGCAAAAGGGCGCTCCGCTTCAAACCGCCGAAAAGTCCCCATTTCGGCGCTAAAATACGCCCACATCGTGGCCGTTCGGCAATGTTTGAAAGCTGGGCTTTGTTCAGAACTGGAAGCTCTATTGAATCGGCTGTCTTTCACATCGCAAAAACAACGAAAATAACCCTGGCTTTTCGACCGTCAAAAACTTGGTTTCATCGAAAAAGGCGCTCACTTCAACATGTCGAGCTTGCATTTCTTGTCGTGATCAAGGGGGAATGCTCCCTTCAATGGTGGAGAGACGCTGTGCACTCGATTGAATGGGCCCGCCTGCAAAAAAAAACGAATTATTAAATTGTCTGGCCGGGTTTTTTTTTGTAAATCGTTAACTCGTGGATTTCAGCGTTTCAACCTTGAAAAACATGAAAATGCGTGCGTCTATAGGCGAGCCAGTCCTGGCTACGAGGCTAGAAATTACCAGAATTTTTTGGGCGGTTACAAGCAAAAGAAACCCAAAATAGTGACATTTGGCGGTCAGAAAATGCCGAATCGTGAGAGCTTCAAATCTCGGAAAAAGCGCAACTATTCTAAGGTTTTGAACGTGGCAGTCACCACGCAAAAACACAACAACTGAAAAAAGCGCTCAAAAATTCGCCCTGAATAAGGGGGCGATTTTGAAAATGTGGCGGTCAGCTTTCCCCCGAAACGGAACTCGGTGAGCAGTTTTTGAGGGTTTTTGGTGGCTTAGAACGTCCGGCTCGATCGAATGGCCCTTATCCGATTGCAGGACTGCATTAGCACCAGAAAACAACCCATTGTTACAAGCTTTCCTCTAAAGCCAGGGCTTCAAAAAGGGTTTCCGCGGCGCGGGAGGGCCAAAATTTGAGCCGGAAATGACGGGGGCGCGCCAAAATGTCGGAAAAACTTTTTTTTAGTGGAACTGACTTTTTTTGGCTGTTTTTGGGGTTCCATAGATGATTCCACAGACCGCCAGAAAAATAATAAAATCAAAAATGTACCTGATCACCCATTTCTCGGGATTGTGGATCGGCAGCGAAAAGAAGAAGCGGAAGAAGTCTTCTTTAAATCCCACAAACGTCCCTGACGGCAGCTAAATTCAATTCAATAGAAAACACCATCTTCAAGAACTCAAAAAAGCGGTCTATCCGCCCTCGAAAAGTATGAAAAAGGACAAGAAATCCTCATAATATCATAAAAATCTCCGGTCACAATTCAAATCGTAAATATTTATTATATGAATTGAGAGCCGAAATATTCTTCTATTTTTGTCTATTTTTGTCGGTTTGTTCTATTTATTCTATTTCCTCCTTCCGGCCGTCTCAGCCTCGTATCGAAGTGATTTCTCGAATGATTGAATCGGCATATCGGGCGAGGGCCATGATTTGTAGACGTGCTCGGCAATCACTCTGGAAAAAAACGGATTCCTCAAAAACGAGGTGCGATTTCGGTAATGTTAATCTTGTAACCAAATTTTTCAGGTTCTTTCGCATTATCGGGGGGGGGGGATTGTTCCTATTAGTCCAGATAAGCCCACTAACGTAATAGTCGGTATTTTAAGCGGAAAAACATCTAAAACCCCCCTTAAACAATGTAAAAAGTTGAAATTTTCGTCGTGAATCGGCCCTCTTTGGTCGAAAACACGATTTTTGGTATTTTATTCATCAAAAATTGTAAAGTCTTTGCCGTTTAGGAATAGTAAAATTAGAAAAAACTTTCTAGCGATTCATATTAGAAAAATCGGATGCCGAGAAAAAAGTTGCCCCCCTGTGCAAGATAATGCAAAAGAACCACAAAGCTTAATTCTGCTGTTTTACGCTTAAAAAAGCTTCAAAAAGGGCGTTTTGGGAAGGAATGCCAAAGCTTATTTGCGGAAAACCCAGCCGCTTTTTGCGCGATTTTTCAAGAGGTTTTCAAAAATTCGAGCCGGCCGCCAAAAATTCAACCCCGCTCACCCCATGATGACGCTCAACGCGGCGCCAAAGACGAGTATCGTCTGCCGAAGCTCGTTTTGACGCACCTAAAAAAAGGAAGAATTACTGAAAAACGTAATCCATTGGCACTGACAATGATTTTCGAGGGCCGCCACGATCTCAATCGGTCTCGGAAGAATTGTCCGACTCGTCCAACAGGGCCCATCTGAAAAACGAAACATTTTTGAGTGTCAATGGAGCTTCAAATTCATTCATTTTTATCACATCTTGTGCAGGATTTTTTGCAGATTAAAACGCAGTTCTTGGAATCGGGAAAAGGTCAGCTTGAAAAAGTTATGAAGCCTGGGAGCCCGAAAAAACTCGAAATTCGCTAAGGGCAATTTTCACGCTAAAAAAAGCTCATCACTTTTTACAGTCTTATTGTTTCGCAGATTCCCTAGTGAACGTTTTAAACAGCGAAAAATTCTGTACCAGGTAAGGTGTATCGGTCTTGAAACGCGACTGGACTGTTAGCGGGCGGGGTGTCTGGGAAACCACATTTTTTTCTACACCTGTCTGTTAATAATATATGTGTTTTTATAGTGTTTTTAGCAGTTTTATGGTTCCCAAAAAGTTACAAACCAATTTTTAAATGTTGAAAATGTTGACCATTTTGGCCATTTTTATCACTTTTCTCTTATCTTATCACATTAAAATCAAAAATTTCGATGATTTTCAAGAGCGTTTTTAGCTAAAAACGTTATAAAATGCTATTAAAATGGTTTATATTTCGTTCTAGAGCCGTAGGAGATTACTTGGAAAAACGGTCCCCCCGCTAACCGCCCAGCACCACAAAATAGAGCCCAACCTTCGCGTGTCACTCAATCGAAGTCTTGTGCCGGTCAGTTGACCAAAAGATAGAATATCTTCTGTCGTGTAGTATAATGAAGCGAACTAAATAGAGCTCTCCAAAAGAATATCATCAAATATACCGATGGCAAATGTTGGTAGAGGGCAAAACGGAGACTCTCTTTCCTTCTCAGCGCCACGAAACTCGCGAAAGAAACTCCTGAAAAAAAGAATTTTTGAACGTTTTTGGAGATGTTTTTACCGAAAAGGGCGACTTCGCAGTAGATCAAGGCCCGAACGCCTTGGCCAAGGGCTTTGCCGGCCAGTTTGACCTCTGAAAAAATGGTAATAACGATCGTAAAAAAAGAATGGACGTTAGTTAGAACGAAAATAACTCGCGACGAAAGCAAATTATACGAAAAGTAGCCTGGTATATTGGTTTCGCACGAAAACCCGAAAAACCAGCAGTTTTTTTGAGATTTTGGCGGGATTCTAGGTTTAATCAAGGTTTTCGGGGCTAGGAAAGATTGCTGGGAGCAGCTGATGCTGATCAGGAACCGGAAACTCAAGCGAAGTTGAGACGGAGATCACGCTAGCGTATGCTGGAAAATAAGAATGGCACATTTTCTGGGGTTTTCTCTTTGCGTTTTCATAGAACATCGTAAATAATATAGAAAGAGTCTAAACTGTAGCCCAAAATAATTTTATATAAAACACTTGTAGCAAAAAAAAGTTTGCACTAAAGTCTGTTGTTACTTTTTAGATATCGTGATTCCGCAGTTTCTGAAAATAGATTCGGAATCGGCGTGAAATTCTGCACAGCATTTCGTGACACTATTGAGGTGAAGGCGCTTGAACTCAGGTCCGTGCATCCACCCGAAATCCACGCGGATAGCTGCCGGAATTCCGATCTCGTCCGAGAGCAAGGGGAAATCGACCGGATTTCGATTGGAAACCGGGCGGATATCGACTGGATTCCACCTGTCCGCCCAGAATCCACCCGGTTTCCAATCGAAATCCGGGCGATTTCCATCTGCTCTCGGACGAGATCGGAATTCCGGCAGCAATCCGAGTAGATTCGGGGTGGATGCACGGACCTGGGAAAATAGGCGAAATTTCAACTCTTCATCATCAAGAAATATTGACGGCGTTATCAGGCCGATATCAGGCAAATTCTACACAGAAATACTACTGTTGTGTTTAGAAATTTACCCAACGTGAAAAGGCAACAAATTGAGAGCAGGGGGGGCCAAATTGGAAGGGGAACAATGATGACCAGATATTCTCATCGGGTACACGCGGACGGGAAGATAAGGAATAACACGGGGAACTTGTGTATTTACGGGGGCGGGTACAGTAATCCAATACAAAGTGTTTTATTGCTTCGAAAAAACTACCGGAACTGGATTTTAAATAAAAAAACGTTTTAGGAATTTGAAAAACGATTCGGACACTGGAATTTTTGCGATTTTAGACGGAAAAACCTGGTTTTCGACGAAAATTTGTGGTTTTTCTAAGTTCGCGAGTACGTTTCATCCTCCCCGCTAATACACAAGTACCAAAAAAAGGGAACGAACGAAAGAAATGGGTGGAGAAAGCTCAACGGGGGGTGGATGGAGGCAAACGAAATTGAGGGGAATTGGTGTAGATACATTTGGATGGGAAATGAGCAGAAAAGAACAAGAAGAAGAAGAAGAAGATGAACAAGCTGATGAGGAGGGTCAGTCAGTAGATGATCTATCCGTCGAACGCCTTGCAGATGAAGTGGATGAAGGTGGCGTCGAGGTGGGCGGCTGATTCGGATGAGCGGATGCCGTGTCGTTCTGACGGGTAGATCTGCAACAAAAATCATAGCGTGAATATTCAGAAATAAATCTTTATATTAGTTTTCTTTCCTATATTTTTTCTTGATATAATATTTTATATTATTTTCTATTTGGACTGCTTCGCGTGCGATTTTGACAGCGCTAAAAACGTGCCTGCAGTTGATATGGTTTGCCGGCCTTGAGCATCGCCTCGATCAACGCCTCCGTGTGTCGAAAATGGACATTCTCATCGAGTAGACCGTGGACGATCATCACACGACCCGGCCTGAAAAATGCCCAATTCAACAAATCGGTTCTTTTCTGTTATCGGGGGGTGAGAGCAACAATTTTAAACGGCCCTTGGTAAGACTCTACTTTACCCCCCAGACGCCCCTTTTCTCTGCGCCCTCTCCCCCAGGCCTACTATCTCTTCGCCTGCGCCCCTCTCCCCCAGGCCTACTATCTCGCCTGGGGGGTAAAGTAGTTTAGCCCGGCCCTTTTAGCAGAATCTAACTATATTTCACCTAGAAAAACTATCTAGACAGCCTCCAAACTTTTTCAAAATGGGAAATTTTAGCAAAAATCGATATTTTTAATCAAAAGTTGATTTTTTTTAATCACGTTCAGGAATAGGACTTTTGATTGTAGCACAATTTCTGTATTAGAAGAACGATTAAAAAGAACAGAAAACACACTCATCGGGCAGCTTGTCGACGACGCCGACCACCGAGCACTGTTTCAACACCGAATCGAACAGCGGATAGCCCAGATATCTAAACACAAATTGATGAATGAGACGGCTGGCAAGGCGGCGCTTCGATACGGGACCAAGTCTATTCTGTGCTGAATTTTTCCCTGATCCCGAATCCGTTTTCGATTCTTGCCAAAAGCTCGATTAAAACAGTTACAACTATTTTAAAGGCGCTCCGAAGTCAAAATTTGCGTGTTTGGGTAGGGAACCTATTGGACATAAAAGGATTGTCGCCGAAAGCGAAAAAACCAAAAAATATTCTAGTAAACCCGAAGAGTTCTCGGGGCGAAAACGGCTTTTTGAGTGGGGGCGGGGATTCCATGTCGTAATGCCTTGTGAGGCACCCAATCACCCGATCTCGGTCATTCTCTCATCAATTTTCATAATTAAAACGACTAGAATCATCAAAATTGCGTGAGGATTCCAGAAATGACTTCAGAATTTCGAAATTCAAGCGTTCCCACGTTTAAACACGGGGCAAAACATCAAGCGGCGCGGCTGCGTTGCGGCGGAATCTGGCTATTCGCGAGGAATCAACACGCAGGGGGCTGTGGACCAGATTTCGGAACCCCGTTAACGCGACACGAGCTCTAGGCGGATCTACAAGTGGGTGAAATTGCCCAAATTCGGAACAAAATTCTAGCCAAAATCGGACTTAAAGGGCTGCCGACGGCATGTGTCGATCCCCCCCATCAACAAATTGGCAAATAGCCAATAGGGAAGAGAGCGCGCCCTGGGGAGAGGCGCAGAGACATTTTCTTTCCAGCGCGTAACCGATTGATCATGCCGTCGGCATCCCTTTAAAGGGCAGGTTCAGGGACGTTTTTTTGGAAAACGCAAAGTTTTTGCCGCGGCCGGGGGTCGAACCCGGGCCCTCCGCTCGGGAGGCGCGGATGCATACCAGTCAGCCACAGCTACAACCTGGCGAGGGGGCGAGGGGCGCCTCACGCCGCAAAGGAGGGGAATGGCCTGTCCCAGCACGGGCAGGCAGTGCGCGCGGTCCCTACGTCCATAGGGTGTACACGTTGGGACGAGTACACGGCCCTCCCTGAACGTGCGCTTTAAAAGCGCCATCACTTACTAAATAGAGCTATTTGCCAAAAAATGAAATCGGATTTGGAATCATCGAAAAAAAGCTCAACAGTTGGGTATCAAAAAAAAGAAACCTCTCGGTGTAGGCAGTATCGTAGAGTCTCCAATCCGTGACAGCACCCCCAGCCACACATGCTCGATAGATTTCCGGGTGTTTGGCAATTGACATGAGCGAGATGAAGCCACCGTAGCTCCAGCCCTGGACGGCCACTCGGGTCAAATCCATGCAACAAGTCCGCAGAGCCACCTGCAAATCCGGAACCTTTTGAAAATCACGTTTTGGAGCTCCTGCAATATCGGGGGGTGGGGTAATTTTTCCCTAAAAGCTCAGAAACACCCAGAGCGTAATAGTAACGATTTTAATGGTGTTTTTAGAAATTTTGAGCAATATTTTAAGCGGCAAATTTTAGTTGAAATCTCTTTCGTCGAAAAATTGATTTTTTTTGTCTTTTTAACTCAAAATTTGTAAATAGCTTACCAGGAGACGTTTTTTTGTGTGAATGGAGTTTTGAGACAAAACCAGGCCTATTTTGTGCAGAATTTTGCGCTGATTCCGAAACTGTTTTTCATTTCTGCTAAATAGCTCGATTTAAAAAGTTAGAGCAAATTTAAGATCATTTTTAGGCCCAGATTAGCCATATGCCATGATGTGCTACATTTTTGTTTTAATGTTCAAAATTATTTTAAGTAGCCTAACTTGTAGAGAATTTTTTTCTGATTCGAATGGTATATTTAATTAGTACGCTAGTTCCGACCGACAGTCACTTACAGGGGTGAGAAATAGGCTGTTTTTCACCATTTCCCATACAAAAAACGGAGGGCATACCAAGTATCGTCAAATTTTTCATTTTTTGACAATTTTTAGTTAAGGGGCTTATTTGATAGAAAAAAATTTCTGAATACGATGACGAAACTTATTTTTGGAAAATCAGCCGGGAAAAGCAATATAATGGGCCTTAAAGATGGGAAATTTTGGGCTAAAATGATCTTAAAATTGCTGTAACTTTTTAAATTGAGCTATTTAGCAAAAATGGAAAACAGTTTCGGAATCAGCGCAAAATTCTGCACAAAATAGGCTTGGTTTCCACTCAAAACTCCATTCACACTAAAAAACGTCTCCTTGTTAGAAACACTTCCTCTATTTTGTATTGCACAAAATTGGATTTTAAGAAGAACAAAGTTTGGTCCCCCGATAACGCAACAGAATGAAAATTCTCACCTCATTCAACGCCTCGATTTGATCGGCCACCTCGACGGTGCCCTAAACATGGTTATAAACATAGAAACGTCAACAACCGACCAGCGCCACTTTGAGGGGTGCCTCGAAATCTTTGCCCCGATTCTGTGATCCCCGTCCGTCGGCCAGCAACACGCAGAACCCCAGATCCGAGAATTTCAGCAGCTGCACCCAACTGAAACAATGATATTGTTAATAGAATACGCAAAGAAACCATTCGACAATATTGCCACATTTGCCGTGCATTTCACAGCCTTTTTAGCTTTTCTCAAGCGCTCATTTTAGGGTTTTTGTGTATTCCCGGGGTGGGGGGGGACACCAACTTTTCTCCTGTCGGTCCTGGTGGGGATAATAACGAATTATAAAGTGTTTTCACATTGTTTTTAGCAAAATTTAAGCCGAGTTGAATCGGAAATTTTTTCAAGTTAGAAAAACGCTTGAAAAAGTCGAAAATTTGGTCATTTTTGGGCTGAAAAAAATCGATTTTTCGACCTAAAATTAATCTTTTTAATTAAAATTTTGTAAAGTTTTTATGCTTAGGAATAGCTATAAACAGTTTAGAAACAATTCCACTATTTATGTCAAAAAAACTCTAGGCTTGGGCCGAAAAAGTTCGGTCACCCCCATTTTTGAATTTCGGGCTCCGTGTTCGTGCTCAAATTTATCGCGCTCATCGAATCAAATATCATGATCATTTCCCGGGTATTAAAATTGGTCACAGACGGCAAAACCCCCCAAAATCTGCTGAGAACGAATCAAAAAAAAACTCCAAAACGGCAAATCTTTAATTTTCTATCTCTGAAAGTACATACATGGCCCAATCGGCTCGAACCGTCTGAATGCCGGGGCCACCGTAGACATGATGAACGACGGGATATCGAGTGCCCTCCCGGTCTGTCGCATGTTCACGGGGTCGCAGCTGAAACCGAGCCATCAATTAAATGAACAAATAGAAGTTATAAATTAAAATCACAATTTGTAAAACGAGAAAAAGTGCCATTTTGGCAAGCGAATGGCGGGGTTCTTTCGCATTATCGGGGGGGTCCATATCGCATCAACGAACCAAATTTTTTTCTAAGGATTTTATTTTGCTAATTTTATAGATAGAAAACGTGTTTTTACACTGTTTTTAACTATTCCAATACGTCAGAAATTGCTATTACAAAAATACTAAAAATATCGATTTTTCAACCAAAAAAAGGCCAGTTTTTGACCAAAATTTCGGCTTTGAATTTTTTCAAGGTTTTTCCAGTTAAAATCAGTAATAATTTACTAGAAAAACAATGATAAATTCCTAGAAAAATTTTATCCCCCCCCCCCGATAATGGGAAAGAACCATTATTAAAGCCAAACAAAAAGAACGAGAAACGGTCGTATTTTGGAAAAGCGACTACGGCCATCGAAATGCTGCAAAACACGATGAAAATCACGGACCAGCAGGGCGTAATGTGTCCGCCCACTATTCCGCGATTTGTAGTCGACGAGAAGGGGACGGTCGACAGCGTGGAAACGACGCGAAATCGTGCAGCCGATCGTGTCCAACTGAAAAGACACGATTAACAAGGTAAAAACAACAAAAAGGAGCCGTTTTGAAACGACACATCGCTCAATCGCAAGAGTAGGAAATTCTGAAGAAGCCCAGTCTCTCCAAAAACAGCCCGAAAAGTACGGGATCCGAGAAAAACAGCTTCAAAGGTGCTGCGGCAGCCGTTTTCAAGCTGTTTCCTGGGATCTACCGATCATTCATTCAGCCGGGGTTGTTCAGAATTTCCCGCTCTTTCCGATGAATTTTGCTGCGTTTCAAGCCGTTTCTTCGTTCGCCGCTAAAATCCGCACCTGGCAAAGCACTTCGGAAGTGGGCAGCCCGCCGTCGGCAGGATAGTGAAGCACGTGGAATCTGAAAAAAAAATTGTTTTTACTGAAAATTTTTCGAATTCCTTATAGCGAAATAGAACCCGTTTTAATACGATTATTTACGTTAGGGTTCATAAAATAAATCTAAGAATTTTGAAAATTCAGCAAATTGATCAAAATGCCGAAAAAAGGTAAAAATTCTCGAATTTTCAATTTTTTCGAATTTTCCAGCAATCGAAATTTTGCAATCTATTTTCTGGCGTGTTTTTCGGAGCGAAAACAGCCAAAACCGCCTTGTTTTAAACGACGAGAAAACCGAAATACAAAACTTGTTGGTACCTGCACTGCGGGGGTCCATCCAAATGGGACAGCCAGCAGACGAAGCCCACGCCCGGGATCAGCGCCAGACTCGACGCCGTTCGCTCGTTTCTGCAAAAAAAAGATGGAGCTATTTTAGACCAGGAAAAAGCGGGTGGCTCACTTGTAATTCCACCCCTGCTCGGTGAGGCGTTGAACGGAACGCTGCGTCGTGTCACGATATCCCGTCACGCAGCTGCAAACGATCAGAAATTACCGGGAAGACGGAAATTCGCAGCAGTGCATGAAAATCACCGAATTCAGCCAAAAAAAGCGTAATTTTGGAACACGGAAAAACATAGCTTCTCGGCGGATTGGGAGTGGATTTTTTGGGGCACAAACAAAACGCGGCGAACAAACGATAAACGGCCAAGTTTTCAAACAGAAAAGGGTTATTTATTATCGGCGGTGGTTCGCCAACAAGCTCAGAGCCAGGGTGACACCCTGTACACCTAAAGAAGTTTGGGACAAAAATGTTTACATGGTCATCTCGAGTGGCCCGTTGATGTTGGCGACGAAGAAGACGTGGCCACGCACCGAATCCACCACAACACCCGCCGATTTGCACACAGACCTAGAAAGGGGAATTTATTGCATCCACCAAAAAGACCCCATTTTTTTCATTTTGTTGTTTTGGACTAAAAAGCCGCGTAATTTCTTTCATGTCATTGTTTCGCCGGTTCGGAAAATGCCAATCTATTTCGGTTAGAAAAAATCAACCTTTAGGTGGGACCCTCATCCTTTTGCTGGCCTCTTCAGATTGGAAATTTCAATTACAACCACTTTAATCATTTAAAAATAGCTTTCCAAGCGTGTTCGAATGGAGAAATGCAGCTTTTCTGACGCCAAAAATCGCAAAAATTTTTTTACAAGTTTTTGAAATGTGAAAAGCTCAAGTCGCCATGCCTCAATGTACGAAGGGTTTCAAACTAAAATATTTTCTTGTTTTCTATTATTTTTTTCTACTATTTTTTCGTTTGAAATGTACTGTAGCCTTATCCTAGAGAGCAAGAGCTACATTTTGGTACCATTGACAGCTCTGTACGACTAAAGATAGCCGAGATACGAAAACCCGCTCTGGAACAGGAAAAATTAATTAAAGAAAGCCCAGACTTATAATTGTTATAAAAAATTTTCTAGCAATTTTTGGCGTCAGGAAACAACTTTTTGGAGTAATTCGACGACGGTGAACATTTTGAGATAGTCCGCGCATTGATAGGACGTATGTTGAGGCCGAAAATTTGCGGCTGGGGGGGTTTCCTAGACTTTAGCCAAAAAAGTACCATGGTCCGTGGGTGAGTCGGCGTTCTTGCGTGGCGAGCAGTTGGCCGGTTGGTCGAATCTCGGAGTCGAGACGGCACAAATGGCAGTCGGATAGCGACTAAAATGGGAGGAGACAGTTCGGAGCACACGACTCCAGAAAAACGGACCTCAGTGCCGTAGATGAATGAAATGTGCTGGGGATGCTCGAGGGGCAACGGCTCGATCAGGTTGTGAGACTGAAAACCCAGGAAATACAGATAAAATACATTTATTGTTATTATTTTTGTATTGGTACTTTGGCATTATCGGGGGGGGGGGGTCACTATAGTTTTACCTATAATTTTTAGGGGAAAACAATAAATAAAAAAAGCCTAGAAACAGATTTTTGGTTGAAATTTTGCCCAAAAATGGCCATTATAGGTCGAAAAATCGATTTCATTTTCACGTAATGGTAAGTCTTCTAATCGTTTTTAGCAGATTTTAACTATATTTGAAGCGAAAAAAATAATTAAAAAAATCGGAATAAATTTTTCGTTGAAATTCCGGTCGAAAATCGCTATTTTTGCATTTTTGGAAAGAAAATTTGTGAAGTTTTCTACGTTTAGGAATCGTAAAAAATTAGAGACATTTACCATATTTATATCAGCAAAAATTGGCTCGTTAGAAAACAATTTAGTCGACCCCCGATAATGCAAAAGAGCCGGAAGAGAACGAATCCAATGACAGACATTGAGCCACGACTCGCAGAACTCGTCGAAGAGGATGAGGGGAGATGTGGGGAGGCAGGCCAACTCGGAACGGTCGAATGGAGGCTGCAAAAAGGGGGGATGAGAAGGGGTGAAGCGGAGGTTCTTGTGTATTCTGGGGGAGGGGGGAATATTCGCGGGGGAAGAACCGAATTTTTTGACCCAAGCCTAGATTTTTTTATAAAAGGTAAAATAAATGGTGGATGGAATTTAATTTTTAAATTTTTTTACAAACTATTCCTAGGTAGCAAAAAATTTACAAAATTTAATTTTTAAAAAGTTTTTCCGATCCAAATATGTTTAAATTTTGCTATAAACAATGTGAAAACACTTTATATTTGATTACTACCCCCACCAGGGCCGACAAAAAAAGTTGGCCCCCCCGGAAAACAAAAAAAAAGAAGCGGAAGAACGAACCGAATGGCCCTGCCACTCCCATTCGGGGATCAGGATCAAGCACAGCTTCGTTTGGGCACGATTCGCCGCCTGGATCCACACCCTGAAATCATATCATTGTACCCATCAGGCGCTCTCATCGAAAAAAATGATAAAAACACAGAAAACACTCTAAATATTGATTTTACTATTTTTTAAACCACTTTCTTTTTAAGGTTATTATTTGGCTTGAATTTTAATTTTGAATGAAATTTAAACCTTGAAAAGATACATTAAAAATAGTTTGAAACCAGAAAAAAAATCCCTTAGAAGTAAAGACCAACCGGGAAAAGTTATTTAACCATTTTTCTAGGCTCCATAAATACATTTTCCCCCTAAAAAAGTTTTACTACTTTTAAAGTATTTTACATTATTGGTTCTTGTGCATTAGCGGGGGGGGCGGACTTTTCCGATATTTCGAGAAATTTCTAGCAAGTAAATTCGTGTTTTTTCGTGTTTCTCTTAAAATTCAGCATTATTTCACGCGAAAAACAATCAAAAAAAATGACAAAACTACCCACTAGATTTTTAGGTGAAATTTTGGCCGAAAAGCCGAAAAAGGGGGTATTTTTGTATTTTTCAGGAATTTTTGTAAAGTTGTTACATCCGGGAAAATTAAAAAAAAACCGTTTAGAAGCCAAAAAAATGACAGCTGTATTTTCCTTCGTATCTCAGAAAACCCAATTTCTGAGCGTGCAAAAACAGCAAAATGCGGCCCGCAAACATCACGAAACCCCCACGTTTTGCCGTCGGACAAGAAGCCGGCCCTGGCGAGATATTCGAGCCACGGGAATCGATCTTTCAGCTCGACGCGCAGCCCACGATCTTCCACCTAGAAAAAGAGGGGTTAACAGGGCCGAATTCCCCCCGTGGATACCATGTCTCCGTTGATGAACAACATCCTGAGACTGGAATGGGCATTCGGGCTGCCGGCCACCGGATATCTCATCGGATCGCTCGGCTCTTTCCCAGGGCAATCGAATGTCAGTGTGTGCACGTCGCCCTCGTTTACCTGCAAAAAAAAACACGGGTACTGGGCTATTAGCGGGGGAGGGGAGATTATTTTTTATTTCTAAAATAATTAAACTAATTATTGTGAAATAATCCTTATTTTAAAATAAAAATGGTTTTTAATTTGTGCGTAGGGCCGTGCAGGATCACTGGGAAAAATTAGATTCTTCCCCGGCACCAGAACAGTGCTCAAAAAATATCAAGTTTTCCCTCCGGATCCAATTCTTGTAAAATCGAAAAAGTTAAGGAAAAAGAAATATAATAAAAAAAATATTAAAATAAAAATATTAATAAAATAAAATATTTTAAAAAATAAAATAATAAACACTCCCCTAAAAATCGAAATTTTGAAAATCGAAAATTTTTTTTTTTTTTTTTTTTTTACGGTTTTGTTCCCCACCCAAATTTTGTAAAAATGGAAAATTTTAACTGTTTTGAACCTTTTTCATACGTTTTTGGCAAAAAAAAAATCAAAAATTGTCGAAACTTTTTAGTTTTTATACTGTTTTTGTATCTAACCACTATTTAAAAAGCTACAAAAATGGTTTATATTTCGTTATAGGGGAATGCCTATCATAATCTCGAATTTTCATAGTCTCGAATTTTGAGAATCTCGAAATCTGCCTATGCTGGATTCCGGGCCAAGGCGTGCAATTTTCGGAGAATTTAGTGGCGGATTTGCACCAGGATATTGATTTTGGAATTGAGATTCAGATTTTGGAGATTTTGACAGATTCCCGTTATAACGCCATAAAGAATCACTGGGAAAAATTTGCCCCCCCCGCTAAGAGTCCAGAACTCCGAAAATGGCTTCAAAAAAAGAAAAGGGCCGGTTGTGTACCTGTTCATAGAGCAGCCGACTACACGCCGGAGACCACCAAATGCCGTTGAAGCGGTCGAATTCCTCCTGGAAAATGGGCAGAGACAGGTGTTTCAGCTGGGGAGGAAGCGAGTGGTGATACCTGTGTGACAAATGATGGGACTCCATTGGAGATGTGGCGCTCGGAGTGCGAGACGAAAATCGGGCGACCCGATCGGTGCACGTGGATTTGCCGCTCGGCGACGAAGGCTATCTGAAAGAGAGCTCATATTTTTGGGCCTAAAAAATAGCCAGATGGCAGAGAAAAACCGCGGGTTTCATGCCGGCTATTTTTTCGCATTTGCAGTTTTGCTGAGCGGAAGTGTATTTATAAGGAATTTCTGCGGTCACGGTGCTTTTTTTGAGATTTTCCACACAAAAACATCGAGCCCTGGCTCACTGAGAGGAAAAATGACGGCAAAACAAGGTTTTCTGCCTATTTTCGCGCTCCAGATACGAAAAATCAGCATCTACGATTCGCGGTTCTTCTTCATTATCGGGGGGGGGGGGCAACGTTTTCGTATAGGTCCAGAACAAAAAGTTTTTAGCTAAAATTTTGCTGGAAAATCGGCCGTTTTTTCTTAGATAAATCAATAATTCGCGCGTTTAAGAATGAACCAACGGCATTTTGCGAACAAAGGATTGCGCCTATTTTCGAGGCCCCTAAAAAAGCAATCCAGTATACGTAGTTCTTTTGCATTATCGGGGAGGGGGGGGACAAATTTTTTCTATAAGTCCAGAAGGGTCTAGTAATGCGAAAAAAGTAATGCGAAAAAGTTTACACAATTTTTCGCTCATTTTTGGTGGTGAATTCGGCATTTTTTTGAACTTTTCAATACAAATTTGTAAAATTTTTAGGTCAGGATCAGCAAAAAGACTCTAGAAAGAAAGAACCCGAGTTTTGTAGGGGAAAAACCGACCAATCCGGGGTCGATCGGGCAGAGCTGGGCGTCGAAGACGAATGCCTGGCCCTTCGGATCGCCCCAAACACCCGTAAGTCGAGGGCCAGAAGGGGGTGCACCATCGAATGCACATTGTACGATCTGAAACAAACCACGTTTACCCCTTTTTCCGGCTTCTATATCGGCTCACCTCGGCGCCAGTGGTGAAGAGCAGGGAATAGGGCGCTTGTGAGTGGATCTGGAAGTCGGAGATGCCGGCCACGGCCGAGACACGTTGGCGCTCACATTGTAGCGAGAATTCGGCGCTGAAAATGAGAAAGTATAAAAAAAACTTTTAAGTCCTAAAAAAGACCCTTTCTAGTTCTGGGAGAGTTATAAATTCTATTTTTTTTAGTTTTAAAAACCCCAGTTATTCTGGGATCATTTTGGCTGGAAAGCTGCTGATTCTGAAAAACCATATCTCAACTCGTTAACCCTACATTTACAAGCAAAATAAATCGTGTTTGGTAACTCTATGATTTTTCTAGCTACCGTGTAAGGTTAAGCTAACCCTCTTTTCCTTAACATGCCCTAAAAAGAAGAATTTGGCAAAAGTTGGCCGTTTACAGGCCGTAATTTTAGCGGCACGTTCTCGGGGCCCAAAACTACTGCAAAACAACCGATTTTTTTGGCCTTTTTAGCCAAAATCTAAGGCTAGGCTACCCTACTTTCCTTCGCCGTTGCCCTAAAAACAAAATTTGGCAAACTTTTTGCTTGTTCCAAGCTTTATAGATTGTAAAACCCTTTTTTTTACAGTCTCAGAAGCAGCGCACAAAACTACCGCAAAATAAGTGAATTTTCGGCAATAAAAGTCAGCTTCCAATTCTTTTTCTCATCGCAAATCGGACCTCTTGCTGTTCCTAAAATGCTCGTGCTGCAAAAGCGGCTTCAGGACGACGACTTGGCTGGCCGAGGGCCCGATCTCGGCCGTCAGGATCGTCTGCTGGTTTGATGATGAGGGGGTGCCTGCAACAAAAGGTTATGCACTTCCAGATGCAACTCGATACCTAGGGCGTAGACTGTACATTCCCCATTGGCGTTTGCTGTCAATGCGAGCCGAGAGAAGGGGACGCCCAGCGAGGAACGAATCTGAAAAGGCCGATTTTATTTCGCGAAAATTTGAAACTGGCTTCAGCAAGATGCCGCCATTATAGCCAGCCTAACGTTATCTTCAAGAAGAACCAAAAACCTGAGAAACTCTGAGAAATCCGCTTGGAGAGGCCACTTTGCTTGATTTCTCCCCGTCTTTTTTGCGCTGAGTTCGAATTTCGCCGAAATAGGGTCGTTTCCCAAGGCAAAAATCGCTATTTTGAGGCGAAACCGGGGTGTGGGTACATATTAAAACTGATGGATCCAAGGGTTTTGACCCACTACTGCTGAATTCGAACTCCGGCAGCAAAGCGCGGCCCCCCAGCTAGCCTGGCGTCGCAATCGCCAATTCCCAGCTGGATTTCTCAGAGTTATAACTGATATATCGATGTTTCTTCTTCAAAAATAGCCGCCGCTATAACGTACATCAGCCCGTATCTTCTTGCAGTGGCTGATCAACTGGGGCCACGAGAAGCGGGGGGTTGGCGACCGTCTCCATGTTGGTGTCGCCTCATGTGGAGCCATCGGCTGAATCGAAAATTTTTGCAACGGACATTTTTAAAAATAAGATAAACGGTTGTTTAGCATTATCGAGGCGGAGACCAACTTTTTCTTAGAATCTAATTTTTCAAATCAACATAGTCGATGTTGCTAAACGGTTATTTACTATTCCTAGGCGTCCTAACGTTGAAAATGGATTAAAAAATGCCAAAAGCATCCATTTTTTCGACCAAAAATGGCCGTTTTCATTTCTATTTCAACGATAATTATATTTTACTAAAAAAAACTCCGTATGAAGTTACTAGACATTTATAGACGTCGAAAAAAATTCCGTCCCCCCGTTAACGCCAAAGAAGCGAAATAGCCCCATTTTTTCGAAAAGTGCACACGCTTGCCCTCGACTTGCCGAAATTCCAATAGCCATTTCCGCAAAGATATCAATAGTGAAGCCGCTAATTCGGAGGAGTTGCAACCCATAGCCATTGCTCAAAACAATTTATCGACACACAGAAACCGGCAAAATGAAGGAAGATATCACAAACCCGTCGTGAGAACAGCCAACAAAAATACATAGTTAATTACAGACATAGCATTGTTATTAGAGGTAATGAATCGATGGTCATCATCTTCTGTGGTAGGAGGATGGCGGGGCGAATTCGTCCTCGCGCTCCTCGCGCTGCCGCTCGATCCACGCGTTGTAGGTGCCCTTGCCCCGGTCCCAGGCTCGATCGCTTTTCAGCTTCTTCGCGTACTGCAAATCACGCAATTTATTAACCTCCCTCATATTTGCAAAACTTCCAAAAATCGTTTTAAATCACCATTTAATAGCTCAAAAAAGTGTAAAAATTTCGAATTTTAGCCTAAAATCGAATTTTTTTAACCGATAGCAATGCAATAGCAAGTATTTTCAGTATTTTTCGCAAATTCAATTACACTTGAAGTGGAAAAACGATTTACAAAACTTCAAAAACTGTACAAAAATTTTAAATTTTCGTAAAACAATCTAAATTTTGGGGTTTTCATCATCTTTTGTTAATTTCTTTTAGGTTTCGGAATAGTAAAAATCTTCCGGATTTTGATATGGAAAAAACTAGACGGAAATTCGAAAAAACGAACCGTCTCCTCGACGGTCTCGTTGATTGGCAGCGGGATGTCGAGATACGTTGGCTCGGGGGCAGGTGGCGGCGACGGCTCTTTCTCTTCTAAAACCAATTGAATTCGTCAAATTAATTCTCAAAAACCTGGAGGCAGCCCAAGTCGTTTCCTGAGGGCGGCCTTCCGTTCATCGCGCTTCTCCCTCTCCTTTTTCAGCATTTGCGCCTTCTTCTCACGGGCCCTAAACGAGAGATACGCTCAAATTCCGAGGCGAATTACTTGTTTGTGGCCTCGCTCAATTCGTAGAGCTCCTTGATCTTGGCCTGTCGCTTTGCCTCGTCTTGTGATAGATTGATGTGGGAGACACCGTAGACGCGTTGATCTGAAAACACGGCATTTTACGTGCGTAAAAATTTTCGGCCGATTAGTCTGTCTCAAAAAGAAATATTCTAGGACGGTTTTATCCAAAAAAATTTCGCATTTTTCGAGTTTCGAGTACAAAACCTCAACAGACGACAAATTCACCCATTTCAAAACCACTCGAATTCCGCAAGCGAAATATCGAAGTCGGTTAGGCGAAAATACGCAAAATAACAGGCCGATCCGACAGCCTAAAAGAAAACTTCTACAGCAATTTTGGCGCTCAGTGCAATGGCACATTTTTGGACGAGAAAAATGCGCTTTACGGTACAAGATAAACAAGATAAAAGCGGCAAAACTTTTCTTTTGAGGCTTTTCAACGGTTTTTTTGTCATCAAGATCCGTTTCTTCAGGTTACGAGTGTCAAATTTAACCCCACAGCTCACAAAACTAGCCCAGAAGAATTATTTTCAGCCTGAAATCGGTCGCTGTTTTTTTTTTGCGACGATGGGGCCTTTAACTAAAAAAAACTCGACCATTTCTACCGACCTTCCCCGGGGTTATATCGCTGCGGTTGGACGGGCTTCCGGGGTGCGGGGGCTCGGCTTGTTCGAGGGCGATCGTCCTCTCCCTCCCATTCATCGTAGCACGGCCCAAATTCCCTAAAGAAACGTTCAGTTCGTAAAAAGAATACATACCGATCCTGCTTTTCATCGAGTTCCTTCTTCTTCAGGTGAAACTCGACCATAAACTCGACGGGTGTATTGTCGTTGTGCGTGAAGGCGACTTCGCCATTCTGCAGCTTCTCGTAGAGCTCAGATTTCTCCTAAAGAGGGTCTCACTCAAAGAGCGCTCCAACAAACGCGTACCCGCATAATCTTCTGCTGTTTGGCGCGGGTGGCCTCGTCTTCGGCGCGCATTGCCGCTTCATGCTCGGCGATGCGCCGTTTCCGCTCGTCGGTTTCGGCTCGGAGCCGCGTCTTTTCATCCGCTTTCACCGTCAGTATACCGCCCTAAAGCCCGGAATTCGTTTTAAAGCATTTAATAGCGTCGCGGAGCCGTTTTTAGGTGTTTATGGGGTCTTACGATGTGATATCGCTCATTCGAAAGCGCTTCAAATTCCAAGAACGAAATACCATCTGAAAAGTTGCTACGAAAGGGCATGCTGAGGATTTTTTTCCCTCGAAAATCCATATTCTCACGTTTTACAAAAATCCATTCTGTACTTTAGAATTTCAAGCGCTTCGGAATGGGCTACTCCAACATCACCTAAAAACCACTCCTTGTCAGTAGCACTAAAACCCGTACCGCCTTTCCAATCTTGGCATAATCACCGGTGCCGACGGCTCCGCTGCCTCGCTGCGCCACCTCGCTCTTCCGCTTCAGCAGCTCATTCTTCAGGTCGAAGATTGACGACACGTCGCTGGCTCCCAGCTGCTTCGACTCGGGCTTCTTGGGCGCATCGTCGTCCGGATCCATCTAAGAAGGAGGTAGTAAGAAATACGTAAGTGAATAGGACGAGCAAAAAAGGGCAGAAAATTGAATACAAGCAGTAATCATCGAAAATCGGCGTTGAAAAGCGCCGAAATGGGGCCTAAAACCCGAATTTCGAGAATTCCAGGTGACATTGCCCGAAAGCTCGCGTTTTCTCTTTTCGCTTCTGCAATAATCAAATTGGCAATTCATCCAATTTTACTTTCTACTTACTTGCGGAATACGATTTTTTTGAACTTTTCGAAAACGGAGTAATTTTTCGGGGGAAATAAGCACGGCGCTGCGGCCACTTATCAAAACATTATGCTCAAGATTTTTACGGTCTACTTAATTATAAGTTATTATATATAAAAGAAGTTGACAAAATTGATACGAATGAGAGAGAGAAATAGTGGGGGAATGGGGGAGAGCGTGCGTTGCGCGCGTTGTCTGGCGCTCTCTCGCTAACACCCACTATTTCATCCCCCTGGAAGGGATAGATGTTCGAACGTCTATTTTCAATTAATATATAAACTTATTATGGTTTATATATCGGTAATAGGGAATTTATATCAACTATAATAAGTAGCGAGGGGTGTATTTCGAGGGGGCTACATGACAATCGGCACTGACGCCCCGCCGGCGCTCTCCTTTTCTCCCGAGGGCTGGCTGGCTGGCTGAGTGCATCGACACATCTCCCACAACCAAACACAACCACCCTTCGTCTGTTGCTCTCTCTCTCACTGTCTCTCTCTCGCTGTCTCTCTCTCTCTCTTTTCTATCGCCTACCCCATATCTAACGATCAATCGTCCACCATTTTACCAGCACCAAATCATTTCGCCCCGCTTTTCCGGCCCGCAAAAACAGTTCAACGCTATTTCGAATAGCGGCCCCACTTTTCTTGTTCTAAAAACGCTTTCGCCGGCGTAGTTTTGCGGACTTGTTTCGAAAAGGGTATCCCAGATTGTAAAAGCTTTTACAAAAATAACCAGCTTTCGTTGTTTCTTCCCCCCCCCCCCCCCCTCTTTTTTTTTCCCCCCCCCCCCCCCCACCAAAAAACCCCCAAACCAAAAAAAAAATTTTTCCGGCCCGCCCGCCCCTCACCCCCCACCGGGAAAAAAAAAAAAAAAGAAGGCAAAACATATTTTTTTTTTTCCTTCAAAAAAAAAAAAAAACAGACTAGATAATTTTTTTTTTTTTTTTTAAAAAAAAGCGAGGAAGAGAAAAAAAAAAAAAAAAATAAAAAAAAAAAAAAAAAAAAAAAAAAAAAAAAAAAAAAAAAAAAAAAAAAAAAAAAGGGCGGGGCCCGGGGCGGGGGGGGGCCCCGGGGGGTGCAACCATCCATATTTTACCTTTTTTCTCCCAAAAATCGAGATCTCAAAACCAAAAACAAAAAAAAAAAAAAAAAGGAACCCATAACATCTAAACCCGGTGGGCTTTTTGGCTTGGGGGGCGGTTTGGGAAAAAATCGAAAAATAAATAATTTTTTTAAATTAATAAAATTCCAAAATAACACTTTCGTTTTTCCCCCCCTTTCTCTCTCCCCCCTCCTTCCTTCCCCCCCCCCCCCAACCACCCCCCCACTCCAAACCCAATTTTTTCCCCGGGCCGATCTCCCCCCCGCCCCGGAAACCCACCCAACGAAAGAAACAAACCCTTTTTTTTCCCCTTCCTTATTCCGCTCTCATAACTTTTTTTTTTTTTTTTTTTAATAAAGGAGGGGAAAGGAAAAAAAAAAAAAAAGAGAAATACAAAAAGAATTATTAAGCCAAAAGAAAAATTCCCTCCCCCAGGAAGGGGCGGCGCCCCCCGCGGGGGCGCCGCGTCCCTTTTTGCCGAACCAAAAAATCTTTCCCCCCCTGCTCGCGCCCCCAAACATACCCCTCCCAAGAAAAAAAAAACCCGGTTAGCGGGCCGTTTCCTTCCTTCCTCCGGTCTCCCCGAAAAACGGCCCGAATTTCGCAAATTTTCCAATTTCCCTTTTTTTCTATTTTTTCTCGCTTAAAGCATTTTGGAAGTATTTTCAGGTTTTCGAGTCTAATTTCTGACCAGCCTAACTTCATGACCGGTTTAGGCGCCTTATTGGTTGATTGGACATTGTTCCAGGGCTAGGGCTTGCCTGAAAACAAGCCATCATTTCAACCTAGGCCCCGGCGAATAGAACCAACGGCTGCCAAGCGAGCCAGAGGGCAAAAACCCATTGCAAAACTTGAATACTACATTTTCTTACTGATTGCATGCTTTTCAACTGCCATTTCCGGCGTCATTTTTCTGAATGACCTACTCATTTGGCCACTTTCAGGACAAGCCGAGTGCCGCTTTCGATCGCTCCAATGATGGGCGGTCGCAAGATGCACCCGATCAGTCATCGAGTTCCCCCACAGGTATCCATTTTCCTTCCATTTTAATGCGTCGGCTTTTCTAGACGGCGATGGACGAGAAGTTCATCGAGCAGATCTGGGAACGGCTCCGCTCGTCTATTCGTGAGATCCAAAACAAGCGCAGCAACGGGCTCTCCTTCGAGGAGCTCTACCGCAACGCCTACAACATGGTGCTGTAATTACACTTTTTTCCGAGTAGAAATTAGGAAGGAATGCCTGACGAAAAAGGCCGATTTTTTACTTTTTAGAAGTTTTTAGTGAATTTCTAGTTGAGCGATAGTTTTATTTACTTTTTTACTATAAAAACTACGAAAATATTTCGTATTAGGCAGGTAAATTGTTATGAATCAACCCGGTAGTGCGAAAAAAGACGTTGAAGACGGGAATGCTAGGAAAAACCCATTAATCTTCCATTTCCAGGTGCTGCACAAGAACGGGCAAAAATTGTACCAGGGCCTTCGCGAGGTGATCGTCGAACACCTCCGCGTCGTGGTAACCATCACTTCTCGCGACGTAAACCCTTTTTTTAGGTCCGGGAACCGTTCGCCTCGACGTCGACGGTGCTGAAGGGGATGCGGGCGGCCTGGCATGAACATTTGACAGCCATGGTATCTTCTTAAACCTTATCAAAGTACCACGCGACGCTTTTAGAAGATGATCCGCGACATCCTGATGTACGTCGACCGTGTGTATGTGCCGAACAACAACGTCGAGCCGGTGTACAACCTCGGGCTGTCCGTCTTTCGGTGCGTCGCCCTGAACAGCCGGCCGACGCGCTCCAATTTTTGTTTCCAGAGATGAGGTGGTGCGGTACAACGGCGTCAACGAGCGGATGCGCCGCGAACTGCTCGACATGGTTGAGGGCGAACGGCACGGGGACACCATTGATTGGTGTGTTTTGCTAGAGGGCAGCGTTGGCCGGCTCGTTGTGCTGGTTTATCATTGCGGATGCCGCTGCGCTGCTTCCGAATATGGTTTTGAAAATCTGTGAAACGACCGGCATGATTCCAGGCACATTTTGAAGGTTTTTAGTGCAAAAAAAGAGTCAACGATGTCCGAATTCCGCGAATTTTTCTGTTAGTCTTGCAGTAAGCACCGTAACTTTGTCTCGAGCTCTGCCGGCTCTTTTTGCTGGTTTTTGACTGACACCTGTAGCCTATCTTGTGCAGAATTTTACACTGTTTTCCGAATTTGGGTAGAAAATTTTCGACGCGATCAGATTTTAAAAGTTTACAGCTTTTCAATGCGAAAAATAGCCCAAAATGGCCAAACTTTGTGAAATTTTTTTGTGACTTTGGTTTTGAAAGGCTTTATTTTAGTTTTGGCTTTCTCAGACCGTTCGTTTCGCAAATTTTGGAACACAGATTCGGAATCAGTGCGAAATTCTGCACAGGATTGGAATTCCTACGCGTCACTTTCAGGCTGCTGGTCAAGGACATTTGCGCGCTGCTGGCCGCCATCGACGTCTACAGCGCAGAATTCGAGCTGCCGTTCCTCGACGAGACGACTACTTTCTACAGGTATAGCGTCGTGTTTCAGTTTCCCATGGCAATACCCTTTAGGCAAGTGGGCCGTCAGCTTCTCTCCAATAACCCGGCCACCATCTACGTGCGAAAGGTGAGGAGGGGGAGGCATCGTTGATTGGCCTCTTCATGAATTACCGTTTCCCCTTTTTTCAGGTTGAGCAGTACATCACGGAGGAGACTGACCGTGCCCTGCGCTACCTGGAGCCCAGCACTCGCGAGAAATTGCTCGAGGTACCGCTTTCGGAGCTGTTGAAGTTGGGGACCCAGCCGGACGCCTGCCGGCTGATCAGCCGAATAGCCCGTTTTCTGCCCCACACTTTTAGCCTCAAAAAAAGATACCTGGATTTTGTAAATATACGCCACTAATGGACAAAACGTCACCGAGACACGCTGAAAAGTCGGCTTTTCTTGGTTTTAGTCTCAATTTAAGCTTTTGCCGTCTGAAAGTGTGAAATTCGAACTCGGCGCACAAAACCGGCCTGAAACACGATTAAGCCGCGCCATCGGGCACGTTTTTTAGCGCCCAAGCGGCTGCCGCTTTTCGCTGAATTTGCAAAGCTTGGCAGGGGCGCGTCCTGTCGCCAGTCTTCTCTCACATACCCCGCTTTTTCCAGGTGGTCGACAACGAGCTGATCACCGCCCACCTGCAGGAGCTCGTCGAGATGGAGGGGTCGGGCGTGGTGGCGCTGCTAAACGACAGCCGCTTCGACGAGCTGCTCGCCATGTTCAAGCTCATCAAGCGCGTCCCCACCGGGCCAGCGGTACGCTCGGCGAGATGGCGAAAACCAGTCGAGGCCGGATAGGGGGATCGTGCTCCTCTGCACTGGTTTTCACTATCTCGAAACGCAAAAAAAATGGAGGATTTTGGAGTAAATTCGGCTAAATCAAGGCTTCTGACAAAAATTGTCATTTTTTGTCATTTTACGAGGCGCTCTTTTGCCAGTAGTTTTCTGGGTGTAAATGCTGGGTTTTGCGTATCAGATAGAGCCCTTTGCAGAGCTTCTGCCGGGCGGTGACGACGTGGGTGCGACAGCGCGGCGAGAACATTGCCGACCCCCAGTCCCAATCCGCCGACATCAAGGCGTCACCCGTCGTCTACATCACGGTCAGTGCATCGCTGTGCCTTAGATGCCATTATCCCTCCGTTTTTTTTTGCAGAAACTGATGGAACTGAAGCAGCAGTGCGATCAGCTGCTCCACCGCTCGTTCGAGGATGACGCGACGTTCAAGAACAAGATCCACTCCGAGTTCGAGACGTTCATCAACAAGAACAGCCATTCCCCCGAGCACCTCGTCACCTACATTGACGACAAGCTGAAGAAGGTCAGGGCAGCCCCGCGTGTGTTTTCTGTATCTGTGTCTATCTAGCTCTCTCTCTCTCTCTCTCTCTCTCTCTCTCTCATATCATGTGATTCTTGTTGTCCTGTCTATTTTCATCCTTGATCGCTGTTTTTTTTTCTTTCTTTGCGGTGGCGCTGCGTTGAGAAAGAGAGCCTTTGAACGCAGTGCCGGGACATTGTGCTGTCCCCCAGTTTTTGGGCGCGCCTTATAGCGCCGCAACATTTCCAGGGTGCCCGTGTCCTCGACGATGCCGAAATTGACGTGGCCATCCAGAAGGCGATGGAAATCTTCCGATTCATCAACGACAAGGACGTCTTTGAGCAGTGCGTTTTGTCGATCCGATTTTGCGGCCGGGCTTTGCGTGGCTCTAGCACGTGCGTGACGGCTCTTCACGGCACTCGTGGCTTTAATTTTGTCCGGTTCTTTCGCATCACCTGGGGGGAAACCAATTTTTCTTCTGAGGGTCCAAGTCTTCTAAAATCAATGGCGGAAATGTTTTCCAAGCTATTTTTGCGATTCCTAATGGTCAAGCTTTACAAATTTTCCCTTAAAATCGGAACTAGGGATTTTTCGAGCAAAAACCGCCTTGATTCAATCAAAGTCCGTGCTCTCCGCTGCAGCCCAGCCGCTTTCTCGTCATTTTCGGTGTCTGAAGCTAACCCTATGCCATTCAGCTACTACAAACGCTCGCTGGCCCGCCGCCTGCTGATGGACCGGAGCGCATCGAACGATTTTGAGAAACTGATGGTGCGTGTGTGCTGGTTTTTAGCCTAATTTCTTTTTTGCCGTTTCAGGTGGGCCGTCTGAAGACGGAGTGCGGCTACCAGTACACGCAGAAGCTGGAGCTGATGTTCAAGGTAGAGAGCTGCCCCCCATTCTAACACTTCTTTCTGTTTTTCTTGCAGGATCGTGAACTGTGGCACACGATGCAGAGCCAGTTCCGCGATTTCCTCAACGATCACAATTGTGTGAGTTGTCGGGTGGAATATTTTGACTATTTGCTTCTTTCTTTACAGGATCGTCGCCTCCACGACCTGCAGATTCGTGTGCTCACCTCGGGGGCATGGTCGGCCCAGCAGGCCACCCAAGGATTGCCGTGTCGACTTCCACCGCTGGCCGAGCAGTCATTCCGCATCTTTCAGGACTTTTACTCAAAGTAAGCAATTTCCCCGTCCGATGGCTAAGGCCCGTCTTTTCTTTCCAGGCAACACAACGGGCGCAAGCTGGCGCTCTCGCCGAATTTGGGCAACGCCGAGCTGAAGGCCATCTTCTACTCGACGCAACCAACTGCCGGCTCGGATGAGGGAAGCCAAGTGGAGTCGACCACCTCGTACGACGCCACCCCATTCCAACCATCCGCCCCCGTCGGCCGCTTCGAGGTGCAGAAGATCCTGCAAGTGTCCACCTACCAAATGACGATCCTCATGCTCTTCAACTACAAGGTATTTTGGAGCTATTCGAGTTGCGGGGGGGTATTTTTTTAGGCTTAGGCTTAGCTTAAAGCTTGATTCGACTTAGTCGAGGATGGATTTTCGCTTTGCTTGGGTCTATCCCTGGCTTAGGCTTGACCTAGAAGTCTTCAAAAAAAAAAAAAAAAAAAAAAAAAAAAAAAAAATAAGCTACGATATAGTTTTTTTTGATACTTGGGTTTTTTATTTCCGATTTTAGCCGCTGTACATTCCTTCGACGAGCTGATCGAGGCATCCGGCATTGCGTGAAGAGGACGTGGGCAAGACGGTGCAGAGTCTATCGATGGGCAAGCCGACGCAGCTGTATCCTCGTCCGCCAACCGGCCGTCTTCTCGGCCCACCCAGCCCGGGCCAAGCACTTCCTCATCATCTACCAACCCTCCCACGCGCACCATCGGTCAGTCTATCGCTTGTGTGCTTGTTTTTATCAGCATTTCCAGATCGACGCGACCAATTCTTCGTCAACGACGCGTTCACGTCGAAGCTCTTCCCAGCACAAGATCGCCTCAATCGTCGACCCGAACGCCAACAGCACGGCGGCCCGACCCAGTAAAACCGTCGAACCCAAGCATCCGCCGATCAGGTATCACCCTTTTTCCGCGTTTTCACCCGGCTTTTCCCTCTCAGATTGACCGACGACCGGAAGCACGAGGTGGAGTGCGCGGTGGTGCTGCGTGATGAAGGCCCGGAAGACGCTCGACCACTCTTCCCTCGTCATGCAGGTATCCCTTTTGCGGGAATTGCCGCTAGGGAGCTATTGAAAGTGCCCGAAGTCAAAATTCGTATGATTGAACCTACTGGGTCAGTGAGAAATGCGCAGTCATCGAGGAGTGCCAGAAAAGTGACGCGAAAAACGTAAAATATTTGAGAAAATCCAATTCATTTTGGGGCGAAAACGATATTTTTGAGTGTGCGGCGATGTTCGTCGTAATTTTTTTTTGTAAGGCACCCAATCTCGATCTGGCGACCTCTGGTCATTCTTCGCATGAAAAGTCTAGAATGACCAAAATTTGGTGCAGATTCAAAATAGCATCAGAATTTTAAATTCAAGTTTTTGCAAACCCAAAACAGGGCAAGTAAAGACTATGCGGTTTTGTCGCGTTGGTACCATCTGCATTTGCCAGGAATCACAGCAGGGGCCGTGGACCAGATTTGAGCCCCTTGAAGTTGGGGGGCTTTGGATCTAGGCTAGGCTTAGGCTTGCGGCAAACGGCTCGGCTTGTGGTTAGCTTAGCTTAGCCTTCCCCCAACTTCAGTAGCTGCGCTATTAGTGTAGAGTTGCAACACGTACACGCTTTTTCAGGTGGCCGAGCAGGTGGCGAAGCGCTTCATCCAACGCCGGCCCTCATCAAGCAGCGCAACGAGGCGCTGATCGAGAGGGACTACTTGGTGCGCGACAACAAAGATCCCAGGATATACAGCTATGTGTCGTGATTGAGCTTTTTGGTTTTTTTTGTTGGCGCCGCTCCCCCCTTTGATTTGTACCATAATTCTATAGTCTCGTCGCTCGCACTGTTAATTACGGGTCGTTCCCCCACCGCCCATTGTCGTGTATCCTCGTTCAATGTGTCGCCTGTATGAAGTCTGTAGTTCTCTCTTCGCACAGCACCGTGTTTGCCTGTCGTTTTAATTGTCCGGCCTCTCTCTCCTTCTCTGTCTTCCATCGCGCTTCTCAAGTATATCTTTTCGATTCTATGCCTACGCTCTTCTTCTCTCATTAATGGTCATACCCCTAGTCGAACAATGCTGCGTTGACAGGTCTCTTGGTTTGTAGGTTAAGCGCGTCGCTCTTCGGTCCACCACATTTTCACCGGGCTCAGGGCCCAACATTTAATATGATATTTTATACTTTTCAACCCCAAACACGGTAGTCTCAGAGCGCGTACGGGGGTGGGAACGGGTATAGTCGAGTGGTCTGGTAGCGGCGGCGGTAGCGCGGGGTGTTGGTTCGATTCCTCCCTCGCCTAAAAGACGCGACACCGTTTTGCTTTTTTTGCAAAACGTTTCTGCGAGCACCGTCAATAAACTTTCGAAGGACCTCGGAGAAAATTGGGCAGATAAAGACTGTCCCGGGGCCGTAACCAGAAATTTCCTGATTTTTGCTTCCAAAACGTTTCAAGTCCTTATTTTCCCTATGATCGCCCGAATTCTTTAACTGCAATGTTCTAGAGTCTTTTCTATCGATCGCCATAGGTGGAAAATTTGTAATTCTTTCTGGAAAAAAAGTCATAGCCTTTAGAAGTTTTTTCCCATACATTTTGGGGCCAGAATTTTCCAAGTGGCCTACCCCAGTCCCCTCCATCCCCACGGCTTCTTTCCGCGCACGGGGGTGGGGGGGGGTGGACAAGGCGGCAGGTCAGGCAGGAGGGCCAGGTTTCGATCCCTTTCCTCAAGTGTGTAAAATCATCAAGATGGTTTTGCTTTTTTTTTTAAAAAATACTCAGAAAAGCGCCAGACAACAAATCTGTGGCGAATCCCTGGTATACCAGGGGGAAGATGAGGTCTCAATGAGAACATCGTCTTGATAATCGCTTCGCCGCGTTTCAAATCCTGTTTTTCCTCATGATCGCCGAGATTCTTTTTACCAAAATATTCCTTGGGGTCTTCTCTACAAATTACCAGGCGGAGAATTTGTGATTTTTTCTATGAAAAAGTTATAGCCATTATTAGAAGGGATTTTCTAATATATTTAAGTGAAAAGGGGGCGTGGCCTCCGCCATTCCCTGTCTCTCTCTCGGGGGAGCCCCAAGTAAGTGTTAAAATCCCGTGCCCTCGTGTGCGTTTCTCCAAGTCAGGCCTAAGACGCTGCGTGCAACATCTCGCGATTTCAGATAATGTTTTGAAGTGGCTGGACCGATCAGTATATCTTTATTCAACGGTTGGAGTAAGCCAAGGAGATCACACAAACATTTAGCCATCACATCGTAGGAGAGGAACCAGAAAGAAAGAGCCGGGGGTAGGCCTGGTGTTCTGGGGATCCGAGGGAGGGAGCATATCCCACGCGCTGACGGGCGCGGGGTTCCAGGTGAGGCCGGGCGCCCAGATGACGCGGTCGTTGATGGCCTCTGGCGTTAGCTTCTCATCGTTCATAGGCGGCGCCTCGTGCTCGGGCTTCGTTAGCTTTTGCTTGGGTATAGCTTCTTGACCCGGGTGTTTCTATAAATTGTTGGTGATCTAAACGGCCATTCTTGCTGGGGTGGGGCATGGCTTCTTGGGCGATCGCTTGATCTTGCCGGAGGTCACGCTTCTCCCGCTACCACCACCGCTGCCCCCTATGGGTAGATATTCTGGGTCGATAAAATTCGCCTTATCAGATTTTGATGAGCGTTTCTTTGGCGAGACTTTCACCATCTTTGAGTATTATAGCGTCGAAAATGTTTTGTTTTGTATTGGATTGGTTGGTTTTCCAGAGAAAGTGTAATTCAGGCATTAAAATTTATTTAGACAATCATTCCAATTTTTGCCGCGTTCAAATCACTGACTTTTCTCCGCTGGATCTCGATATATCTTTCTTGCAATTTAGTGACCGACTTACCTACGTCTTGTATTCTTGTAACAATTCTGAAGAATCCGGTTCACTTACTTTGGGCGCAACGAAATTTGGCGAAATGAAATGGGTGAAATGAATATTTGGCCTTTTCAGTACAATTTTCGCGTGGTTTTATTTGGAAAATTCTTTTAACTTTTGCGACTGCTTTGTTTGTCTTGGTTTTTCTGTCTTTCCCACGTTTAGATGATTCTTTTATCGTTTAGACCCAATAAAAAGCCACAATTTAGAGTCCCCGATTCATTTTTGGTTTTTTTTGATCGATCCGCTTCTCAATTTTCTATTTTTTAAATATTTTTGACTTTTTAATCAAGTTTTTGCAGGGCGCGCTCGGTGGTTGCCGCAAGGTGGCAGGGCCGCGACGACGGACGGTGTGCCAAAGCGAAAGAAATCGCTGAACATCAAGGGTCAGTTTGTTCGGGATCGAGACGATGAACACGGTTACCCAGAAATTCTCAGAATTATGATGCTCATTTAGATGTACGTATCGCCGGGCTCTACGATTTGGAGCAGACCATTGGCCAGGGACATTTTGCCATCGTCAAACGGGCCAAGCATGTCTTCACACAGGAGCAGGTTCGCCCTTTTTCCATAGGAAACCTGCGAAAAAGCGAGATCTACGGGGCGTTCTGAAAACCCTTTTTTACGGCGGGAGAAATGGCTTTTTTGAGGGTTGCGAAAAGCCGTTTCTATTGCAAAACTATAAAATTGGGTTATTCTCACTGATCTAGGCTGCAGAGGCGCGAAAATAAGAGTTTTTGGCTTTACTAACTCTAGAAAAACTTTTTTGGCTTTTCCTGCGCCGAAAAAAACGCTAAAATAACCTTTTCTGTATTTGACCGCGCTGGAAAAAAACTAGAAAATAGACTTTTTCGACATTTACTAGGCTGGAAACACTCGAAAATAACGTTTTTCGATCTTAATGCCGTGTAAAAACACGAAAATCCACTTTTCTGGGCATTTCATACGCTGGAAAAACTCGGAAAAAGTTGTCTAGCTTCTCCCCACTGTTCTCCACCTAGAAACCGCCAAAATTAATCGATTCCTTTCAGGTGGCGGTGAAAATCATCGACAAGGACAATCTGGACATTGAATCGCGCGAGCACATGATGCAAGAGGTCGTGCTCACCCTTAAAAATGAATATTCTTTGCCGTTTACAGGTTCGCTGTATGAAACTGGTGCAACATCCGAACATTGTCCGTCTCTACGAGGTGATTGACACGCAGACAAAGCTCTTTCTCATCCTCGAGCTCGGCGACTACGATATGCACGATTTCATCTTGAAATACGAGGAAAAGGTGCGGGATTTTGTGCTCCAAAAAAAAACCCGGTGAAAACCCCTGAAAATGCGTGTTTTCGGTTAAAATAATTGGGGGAATATTTTAGGGATGCCCCGAGCCACTCGCCCAACAATACTTCAGCCAAATTATCAAAGCCATCAGCTATTGCCACAAATTGCACGTCGTACATCGAGATCTCAAGGTGAGCACGAATTGAGGTTTTTCCTCAACGATCTCTGCTACAATGCCCACTTATGGATCTTTCGCATTATCGGGGGGAGGCTCTAAACCGTTTTTACTATTCTTAAAAGTCACAAATTTACAAATGTAGAAAACGTTGAGAAGGGTTCAAAATGTTCAATTCCGTCGAAAACGGGCCATTTCTGCGGTTTTAATTCTATTAAAAAGTTGCCTTTATCTTATTAAGAAAAATTTTGGTTATGTTGTAGGTCTTTTATCCCCCCTGATAATGCACAAGCTCCAGTTTGCCATAATATTCGTGTATTGTCCATTTTCAGCCGGAAAACGTGGTGTTCTTCGAGCAATTGGGCATGGTGAAGCTGACAGATTTCGGCTTCTCGAACAACTACGAGCCGGGCACCCAATTGAAGACGTCATGTGGCAGTCTCGCCTATTCAGCGCCAGAGATTCTCCTCGGTGATACCTACGATTTCCATGATCAGTCGTTTTCCGCTTTTCCCCCATGCCTACAACCTTTAAAATCTCTTTTCGACAGTACCCCCCATTTTGTTTGTCTTCCCCCCTTGTCCATTTCCATCCGGTTCTCCCGATCGAGCTTTATCCTTTCCCCCTTCTTCTTTTTAACGTTTTTTTTCGCATTTTCAGCTGTCGAATAATTGTTGAGAATCCGTGCTTTGGCCTGTAAATACTAATCCTCCTCCCCGTTATTTCATCGATTTGGCTTTAATTCCCTGCTCTCTCCCTCCCTCTTTCTCTCATCAATAAACACATTTTATCCATTCGTAAAATGCGTTGTCAATTCTGAAAATACAAAGGACGACGAGAAGAGAATGACAGCGTTTCGACGCCTGACCCCAAATATTGGGCTGTATTTCAAAAATACCTTTTATATATCTTGGATACCAGTCAAAAAAAGAGCCGCTCCGCGGCCGTTTTCCACTGGAGCCCGTGTAAAAATCATGAATTCCCTTTCTTTTTTTTGAACCCTGTGGCGCCAGAGCCAGCGTTCCTCTAGAATCTTTGAGCCTGCGGCGCTAGCTACTGCTTTTTCTCCCGGATTTAGGCTGCGGCGCGCGAGTGTAGTGTCAACAACCGAAGAATCCATTGGCCTGCGGCGCCAGAGCAAAGGCCGGACCTAAATCCCACACACTGGCAGCCTCCAAATATGTTTTGTTGTTGAATTACGAAAAAGCAAAAAGCGGCGTTTGTCGGGGGATACGAACCCCAGATCCTCGGCGCAATAGGCGACGCTCGCATCCACTACACCACAACTCAGATGGGAGAGGGTCGCGGGAAAGGGCTGTTCATACCCTGGCCGGCCAGCAAAGCCGTGGGAAAAGGAATGCGACACCCCAACCAACTCCCACAGTCACTTTACAAAATCCCAGTTTCGAGCTGGAAAATTAGCGAATTTCATCTAAATCTAATTGGGTCAAGTGACGGAGAATTATCATCGAAAATTGCATAGTCGTTTTGGAGAATATTCGGTTTTTTTTACCTGTTGGCTTTGAGGAAATGTTTGGAAAAGTTGCTGAATTGACCCCCGATCCCCATGAAAAATGACAAGTTTTTTCAGATGCCGATTCTCAGAAGCAAAATTTTCGAAAATTGTGGTTCTTTAGGATTTCCGGCGGAAGGGGGAACCAACTTTTTTTGGTCCATACCTAAAATTTTTATAATTGGCGGTAACGTTTCTACAAAGTTTTTAGCTATTCCTAAGCGTAAAAAACTTTACAAATTTTCATTAAAAATTCGTTTTAAGTCCAAAACTTTATTTTTTCGACCTAAAACGGCCAAATTTTCCACGTTTCCAGGATTTTTTCTAACTGTTTTTGATCGATTTTCTACTTTAAAAATATTTAAAACGTACTAAAACATTGTAAAAGCACGTTATATTTGATTCTTAGGTCAACCGCGACCGCCGGGAAAAACTTGGTCCCTCCCCAGCCCCGGAAATCATAAAGAACCGGCATTTTTAAAAATTATTTTTGATGCTGAATCTACGGAATAAATAAAACGCATTGAAAAGGTTCTCCTAGCTCAGAAACCCTAGAATTTATCACCAGGAACCCGACTTTTTGATCATTTCAAATTCTAAAATTCGAATTTTTGGTCAATTTTCTCATCAAATGATATTTTTGTTAAAAAAAAGCGTCTCTATCAGAAAATTTTTTTTGGATCGTGTTGCCCATCTTTTATTTGATTTTTCCACCAAATTTGAGCACGATCGGAGTCTGAAAGATTGAGTTTTGATTTTGCGCTAGCTTTTTCCGGTGTTTCCGGTTGTTTTTTATGGCTTACCATCTGCCGAATGATACAAAATCGATTCATCAAATCGAATCTATCAATTGTAGAATTTTCTGAATTTCCTGATCCTGAAACATTTGCAAAAAAGGCGAGAAAAGACGGGGATTGGGGGGTCAAAAAGGGGGCGGGGCCTTGTCTCGGGGGAGAGATAGTGGGTGAGAGTGAGAGGACCCAGACCGCGAAACATCATTTTTCTAAGCTTTCAATTATTGAATTTGACCCACATTTTCGGTCCGATTTTTTTCTTTTGAATTTCATCGCGTTTTCTTTGTAAATACGCTTTCAATAAATATTAATTCTTTTCAGAAAACTTGGGGAATTAGCCTGCTCCGCTCCAATGTGACGGCCACAGTACCTCGCATCCGATGCCACGCGGCTCGACAGAAACGTTCGTTTTTCTCTTGTTTACACCATGATTTGATTTTACAGAAGAGATCTCGATGCGTGGCCCAGCTCAAATCGACGACAAGAGAATTACACTCGGATCCGGTCGATGAAACAGTGCTGGCTGATGAAGAAATTGATGTTGATGGGAAAGGCCGGAGAAGTGGAGCCGTGGCTGAGAAGAGGACATTGAGACAGTGGATTGAGTGAGGCCCCCAAACATGCAAAGGTATTTTTTGGCATTATTCCCTCGTTTAATGGTGTCTTTTTAGGGAGTTCTCGGACGGACTGCTCGACTTGGCGTCTCAATCGAAGGATCCGGAAACGGTCTGCAATGACGGCAATGTGACGCATCAAGTGCCACGCATCCGGAACAAGCAATATCAACGGTAAGGTTAGTATTTGGGCACTATGAAGATTTGCTTCTTTTCAGATCAGCTCCATCCGATTCTCACAGCATCGGAGGGCCCTCAAGAATCGTTGGAAAGGCCACATCCACCCGAACATTGCTGCAATTCGACGAAGCGTGCGAAGGAGACGAACAAGTTCAAGTTTGTCGTTTTATTTGATCCTTTATTTCCTTGGTCTAGGTCTATTCTGGCAATGTTTCCGTCTCCATCTGGCCGTCTTCACCTTGGTCACCATCTTCCGGTCACGAGTGCACACACTTTCCGATGTGCTTGCCCAATGTTATCGACTGGCCGGATAGGAGGTAAATCTTTGTTTTTCTCGGTAAATATATTTCGTATTTAGATACTGGGACAGATTGGCTGGAACGCATTCGGAATTCCGGCTGAGATTGCTGCTCGTGAGCGGGGAATTCATCCACGGTCTCGTCGTCTTTCTGATGTGGTTGCGGGCCGATCGGACATTAAAATCCCGACGGCCCCGCTTGAAGGACTTGAGGAGATCAAGGTTCGTATTTGTTAAGGCTAAGAGTAGTGGTTGTCCAAAAACAAAGCTCGCTATTCTAGGCTTCGCTTCGTTTGCTTCGTTAGCTTCGTTTTTCAGCTTCAGTATCGGCGTGACTTAGCTTCATCGCTGCTTTGCTTGGCTTAAGTCCAAATTTAGCCTGGTTTTAAAGGAAGCTTGGCTTAGCTTGAGAGAGACTTTGCATTACTTTAGATGAGGCTCATGTTTTGTTTAGTCTATACTTTGGCTTCACATTTTGAGACGTATTTTACACTTTTTTTGCCAGTTCCGGATATAAATTCCGCAAAAGCTAAAGATGCCATCTTTTTTGTAGCTGTTTACTTTCAGTTGTTATATAAAATTTGATATTTCAGGGCCACTCCCCCGCCACGTCGCAGGATGGCCAACGTGACGTTGTTCGTCTACGTGATCCACGGAAGTTCGGATCGAAATCTCTCTTCGTTCTCGGCCCCGATCATCCACTGGTCGACAAGGAATGCAAGAACTCCACATGACCATGTCGGTATTCTGTTTTGAAGGCTTTTATGATCGTTTTTTGCAGATCGTCTACCATTTGACGTGTGGAAGGGAGTGACGGGTGCCCACCTCCGCTCATCATCTACTCCACCAAACGGGACGCGGGAGCGGCGCGAGCGCGGGGCCGATCGGACATTAAAATCCCGACGGCCCCGCTTGAAGGACTTGAGGAGATCAAGGTTCGTATTTGTTAAGGCTAAGAGTAGTGGTTGTCCAAAAACAAAGCTCGCTATTCTAGGCTTCGCTTCGTTTGCTTCGTTAGCTTCGTTTTTCAGCTTCATTACCGGCTTGGCTTAGCTTCATCGCTGCTTTGCTTGGCTTAAGTCCAAATTTAGCCTGGTTTTAAAGGAAGCTTGGCTTAGCTTGAGAGAGACTTTGCATTACTTTAGATGAGGCTCATGTTTTGTTTAGTCTATACTTTGGCTTCACATTTTGAGACGTATTTTACACTTTTTTTGCCAGTTCCGGATATAAATTCCGCAAAAGCTAAAGATGCCATCTTTTTTGTAGCTGTTTACTTTCAGTTGTTATATAAAATTTGATATTTCAGGGCCACTCCCCCGCCACGTCGCAGGATGGCCAACGTGACGTTGTTCGTCTACGTGATCCACGGAAGTTCGGATCGAAATCTCTCTTCGTTCTCGGCCCCGATCATCCACTGGTCGACAAGGAATGCAAGAACTCCACATGACCATGTCGGTATTCTGTTTTGAAGGCTTTTATGATCGTTTTTTGCAGATCGTCTACCATTTGACGTGTGGAAGGGAGTGACGGGTGCCCACCTCCGCTCATCATCTACTCCACCAAACGGGAGCGCGGGAGCGGCGCGAGCGCGGGGCCGATCGGACGTTGCTTACCCGACGGCCCTGGTTGGAGTGCTAGAAGAGATCAAGGTTCGTATTTGTTAAGCTAAGAGTAGTAGTTGTCCAAAAACAAAGCTCTCTATTCTAGGCTTCGCTTCGTTTTTCGGCTTCATTACCGGAATGACTTAGCTTCATCGCTGCTTTGCTTGGCTTAAGCTCAAATTTAGCGTGGCTTTATAGGCAGCTTAGCTTGAGCCAGACTTATAATTACTTTAGCTGAGGACTTCTTAGATTTAGACTTAGGCTTCATTCCTAGACGTAGTTTACAGCGTAGAGCTTCTGTCTTTGCTGATTCCACAATAGTCTATGCTAGCCTCCTGCCCATCTTTCTCCACGATTACTCAGACTTTTCATCGTAGATTTCTAGAAAACAACCCCTTAACCCAATCAATTTATCACTTTAAAAGTTTCTTTTCAGGAGGATGGCGCATGATGGCGACTAGGCCGAGCGGACAGTGGCTACCCGCCGGCCGGCTGCTACGAGGGCGGCTCAAAGTGGTTCGTGTTTAGCAGCAGTAGCTTTAAAAATGTTTCTCTTCCAGGTGTTCGTTGAGTTGTTGCGGGCCGATCGGAAGTTGATAACCCGACGACCGCTGGACGTGCTTGATGAGATGAAGGTTCGTATTTGTTAAGCTAAGAGTAGTAGTTGTCCAAAAACAAAGCTCTCTATTCTAGGCTTCGCTTCGTTAGCTTCGTTAGCTTCATTTTTCGGCTTCATTACCGGCTTGACTTAGCTTCATCGCTGCTTTGCTTGGCTTAAGCTCAAATTTAGCTTGGCTTTATAGGCAGCTTAGCTTAGCTTGAGCCAGACTTATATTTACTTTAGCTGAGGCTTAAGTTTTGTTTAGTTTATACTTAAACTTTGCATTCTTAGACGTAGTTTACAGCGTAGAGCTTTTGGTTTGGCTGATTCCACAATAGTCTATGCTAGCCTCCTGCTTCTTTCATTTTTTCTACAAAACAACCACTTAACCCAATCAATTTATCACTTTAAAAGTTTCTTTTCAGGTGGATGGCGCATGATGGTGACGAGGCCGAGCGGACAGTGGCGACCCGCCGGCCGGCTGCTTGGAGGGCGGCCTTACGTGGTTCGTGTTTAGCCGCGGTAGTACTAGTACCAGTAGTAGTTTACCGAAAAGCGATCGAGGGTGTCCAGAAACTCAAGCGCGGCTTCTTCTAGCTGAGGGTAGAATAGTTTGGAGTTTTTGGGGGGTGCTTACCATTGATGCATCCACATGATGATCTACGCGGCAGATACGCAGACGACGATAGATCCGTCTCAATGCCGAGAAGGGGCACAGCTGCTGGCTTCACCTCCCGATCGACATTGAGCACTTGTTCGCCAGCGGAGCATCGACTGAAAGATATTAAAATATATGAATTTAAACCAATTGAAAGGTTTTCTATTGCTAAATTTCGATTGTTAGACGCATACCGGCGCCCAAAAACAGGGCTTTTGCTAGGGAGGCTGATAGCCGGCCTATAGAAGACAGATCGGTGGAGACGGACACCGAGTGCTCGCTCCAATTCCGACATCTCCGAAGCGCCGCCATCGAAAATGTCCTGAAACCTTAAATAATTTATTCTTTATTTCTGATTAAGATATACAGACACGACGAATAAAGCCTTTATACAGTATGAATTGGTGCACATCAACTTTTTAGAAAACTGGAATTATAAGGCTAGTGTGCCTGCTCTGAAAGATCGACGCGGGCAAGCAGAAGATTTCGCGTCGTGCCGAAATGTCGGACTAAAAACCTTGGCGAATCATCGGCATCGATGGGGGATAATTTTTGCAAAAACATTAGTACCCTAAAATCTCGTGTATAGCTGCGGTACACTTTGGTTACGTAACAATACAACTGACACCAAATAATGTGCGTGGGGGACAATTTTCCGCAAAAGCCATGTAAGGCCAAAGAGATGATTCTCTAGATCCCCGCCATCTATTTCTTTCATTAAACCACTTCAATTATTTGAAATAGGCGTAATGCTATCAATTCATTAAATCAATTCAAATTCAAACGAAATCGCGAAAGTACCACCCGCGAACCGAACTATACACGAGGTTTTAGGGTAATAATTTCTGTAGACAAAGATCTTGATTTCATATATTGATACCCTCGTCGTTTTTACCTTTTTTTTGAAGAAGCGCTTGAGTTTCTGGGGACCTCGCTGGTTTCTAATCGTTAAAATAGCAGTACCACGTCTTTTTTATTGGAACTGATCTTTCTTCTTGTTTTCGCCGCAGGATTTGGATAATTTCTTTCATTTTCAGTTATGGACGACGCTTTGTTCGTACAATCTGGGCTACTGTTTCTGCATCTGTACGGAGGACATGGACGCAATTCTCTCAATCGACTGCAGCTTCTCAGGCGCAACCTGCGTCCTACAATGACGGCGGCCATGGTGGAGGAATTATGGAGACAGCATCAGCTAGCAACGCCACAGGTCCGGCTTTCTCGCGATATTTTTAACCTATTATTTCCAGGAGTTACAAACAGCCATGGCCAACCAGCTGGCTATAAACGCTGAGGTGGCCGTACCCGCCGTCGACGAGGGCGCGCCAGGAGACGTGCATCGCGTACCGGACCCCTACAGGAACCCCGAGGATGTGAATGTCCTTCCAGTAGACGGGGTGGACACCGAACCACGCGAAGCATCACCGAACGGCGAGGAGCTGCCACCAAATGACGATGACTCGTCGGACTCGGACTCGTCGGATTCCGATGATGACATTGGAAACAAGGAGTTGGGATTGCGGCTCCTCTACTGGATGTATAGCGCTGCAAAAGGAGGAGTGCCGATATTCCAGTACGAATGGCTGCTGCTGTTGGCGGTTGTGAACTGGTTCGGCGAGCCTGACTTGAGGATTGCGAACAGGGCTTTTGAATGGGGCAACACCAACAGAGAGGTGAGTTCGTTTTTGTTCGGCTGGGCCATAAAAGGCAATCGTTCGTTCGCAGATGTGCCGTGCAGCCAATAATTATTGTGATTTCGCACCACTAAAGCGAGGCGGCGTGCGGCTATCGTCGGCCGAAGTTCTTGGTGTATAAAAATTCTGACTGGTGCGCGCCACATCTGCGCACGATCTGTAATTACGAATGACATCTTTTTACTATCATTTCTTTTCAGCATCTCGAGGACATCTTCATGGACATGTGGAACGATGTGCCCGAAGCAGACAATGCTCCTAATATCCTGAACTAAAATTAAATGTACATCGCGTATCCGTCCTGTTTGTGATATCGCTTCGTATGTTGTATTTCTTCGTTTTGCCATTGATCTCTGGATTAAATTTCGCGTTTTACTGTTATACTCTTAGACTTGTTTTTACAGAATGATTTCGAAATTCGGTGTTGATGCTACTTTGGTGCGTCTTTTTACGATACGGTGTCAATAAAAGAGTGTAATAATGATGTCAATCAATCAACTATAATAATTTCTATCAGCTATCAGGAAGTTATTTTAATAGTTTTAGACCAGGGGAGTCCGGCCTGCAGGAAGCTAACTGAAGCCATCTGGAAGGGATTTCAATCGTTTTTGAAGGGAGTTGCGGCTGGGAGCGACGGGCGCGGTCCCCAAGGCCACGTTTTTTATCAAGTACTCTGTATGCCAGGTTGCCATCTGAACATCTGCTCGAGGCGCACCAATCTTTGCGCCCCTAGGCATTAATGTACATCCGTGACCCCCATACCTACAACCTCGGATTGGTTATTTTTTACAACTTGAAAACCCTAAAAACTAATAAAATTTTACCGTAAATACCGGAAGTTGCCGCATGGCTTTTACAATTAATGATTTGTTGTGGCGTTAGCAAGATTTAGTAAATAAATAAACACAATGTGCGGTCGAATGAATTATCGAGGCGTATAATTTAGCAAAAGCTACCCAAGGATTAGGTTGGTCGGAAAGTAGCTAGAACGTTTTTCACAATTTTCCATAGATATTCTCGAAATCATTCCAAAGCCTAATAGTGGTATTATGCGTAGTCTGTATATGTGTAATCTCCGTATCTCCTCCTAATCTCCTACCCCACTATAAGTGTAATCCCTATTTACGAATGCAATAAACGGGATACTACGCCCTTACAAAATAGATACGATTGATTTAGCGAAATTTTAGTAAAACAGCCATATCTACGCGTTCAAAGTACCAAATACGGAGCTTTTCTGTGTACGTATGTGCGACATCATTTGGCTAACTACTGACACTAAACAGCAAAAAATCCCATGGCAAACCGAGAAGAAAGACCCGATTATCAAAAGTTCTCGGGGTCAAAATTTTCTGGCCCCATGCAAAGAAAGCCAAAAACAAACAAAAAATTGGCTGGAGGAAAACTCTTGGTTTCTTTACTGAATCTAGCACTAATCTTGACGCATCCTGGGATATAAATATTGTTTACGCGGGGCCGCTCGTTTTTGCAAAATAATTCGCTAAAGTTACATTCTAGCTAGAATTTTGTGGGTTTTTGCAGCAAATATCAATTCGGAAAAAATTTATGCCCGTAAATGAGGTCCAATAAGCTAGATCCAGGCGAATGTTAATGACGTTACTAGATATGTTGAGAGCAGGGTTGGTCACAATGATCGGGGGTCCGCGTCCGTTATGCAAATTACGGACGCGGACGGACGGGTCCGGACGCGTCCGTCCGCGTCCGCAATTTGCATACGGGTCCGGACGCGTCCGTCCGCGGACGGACGCGGACGGTCTTTCGATCATCATGACCAACCCTGGTTGAGAGGGATCCAGTCACCAAGGCCACGATTTCTTATCGATTGGACCTGATTTATGCAACATAAATTTTTTCGAATAGAAATTTTCTCCAAAAATTCATGCAGGCATTGGTAAAAGCATTTAGGGTATGATAGTAGTGTGAAACATTGAGGGATCTATACAAACAGTTTCCTTACATGGCATGTAGACCTCCCGAACCCCCCTCATTTACCCCCAAACCCCCATTTTGACCCCATCGCAACACCACTGGGAACCCCCCAACTGACCCCCCGCCCTGCCAACCCCTAATGGACCCTCCACCCGACCCCCACCTGGCCCCCATACGTACCCCCTTCGGCCCCCAACAGAACCCCCCAAACCCCCCACCCGTGCCCCCACAACCAGTGTTGGGCAATTTGCCCGGTCCGGTCTTACTATGCAAGATGAAAGATGAACATCATTTTCGAGCAGTTCGCACAACTCGGCGCCAATCCGATTGCAACTCATTTCGGGGTCGTTTGGTAGCATTCCTTCGAGGTTGTTGAACACGGCGGACGATTTCGAGACGTTTTTTTCTAACCGCGCTAGCAGGCTGGGCAAAGCTGCTAAAGAGCTGAAACTTGTTGGGCAGATAGAACTTCTCGCGCTCTTTCGACTGATGCCTTTCTCGATCCAGGAGTCCCAGTGGAGATCGAGATATGATGGTTTTAGTGCGACGACAACTTCGACAGGTACACCTTTCGGCACTAAAACGCTCCCCTCTCTGCCCCCCGACGGTGTTGGAGGAGGGAAGTATACCGTTGGAAAGAGCGTTCAAAATGCTACCTTCTCAACGGCTGGAAGCAATTCTATCAAGCGTCTTTACGCTGCTAGCGCGGTTAGAAAAAACGTCTCGAAATCGTCCGCCGTGTTCAACAACCTCGAAGGAATGCTAGCAAACGACCCCCAAATGAGTTGCGAGCGGATCGGCGTCGAGTTGTGCGAACTACTCGAAAATGAAAATGAGTGTGAACCCAGGGAGAGAGCCTTTTTAGAGAACCTTTTCCAACATTTTCAGCCGCCTGGGAGAGATTCGATTCCGAGCATTCTAAAATTCGGATATTCTTCTGAGATGTGCGGATGACCGACTACACAGACGTAGCCAAAGCCCGTTTCGGAAGGCCACGATTTCTTAACAGTTCTTACTCTTGTGAGGCGCACTCTCTAAGCAGCTTTTTTGCTCATTTTGCATATATTTTCGACCAAAAAGTCAATTTTTTTAGGGAAATTTGGTAATTTTTTCACAGCTTTTAATATAAAAAACGTTGTCAAATGCTACAAAAAGGGGCTTGCCAGCAGCTTAATTCCCCATTAAAACGGATGGACCCAAATGTTAATCGATCAGTTAGGACGAGGGGGAAGAGGATGTTCGCAGCCGGAAATCGCCCGCCTTCTCATTTCGCCTCAACGAATTCAGAGCCCACGACACCTGAAACATAACTTCTAATTGCTCCTCTAATTTGTGTTTTTATAGCCTGAACAATTTAAAGGGCGAACTAGAGAAGCTAATCTACCAGGGTTGAAAAGCCTGGATGTTCGTGTGAGGGTGTCTCCTATAACAGTGCTCAATTTTCATAGTTCTACTAGAATGCCGACGCCAAAAATGAAAAAACACCACCTTCTGCCCGTTTATGTTGGGAAGCGAAAGGAGGGATTCCGAGCCGGAAGTCTATGCAAATCGAGGCAAAGTCCAAAAAGATAGTTTAAACCTGTCCAAAATAGCATCCAAAAAATTATTTAGGCTATAACTCGAGAACCACCGTAGTGATCGGGCTATAACTCAGGATTGTGGTGATTTAGGGTCTAATATACCGCTACTTCGATTTTGGGACCGGTCGGATGTAATATGGCAAAATGCCGGGCATGTGACATCAAATGTGACTGACTTGACTGAATGAGGCAGATTCAGATGGGGAATTCGCAGCGATGATGACGTTGATACCCGTCGGATAGATACGGCCGAGGACTTCGGACTTTCGTTCCACAAGGTCTGGTCGAATTTGATAGAGCTGAAAAGATATAGATGGTCACTGCTAGTCGACTGGCTCTCCCTCTCTCTCTCTCTCTCTCTCTCTCTCTCTCTCTCTCACCTGAATACTCTGCCCCCTAGCGTTGTTCTCTATCCATTCGATCAATCGTCCCATCATCATCTCATATTCATCAGACAGACATTTCAGTGATTCCTGAAGAAGGGGAAACTAGCAGAGACCATTTGTGGAATGGAGTATAGTCTCTCTGCCAGACAGATCGAATATTAAGATATTCAAGGTAACGAGCAGAGATCATTTATTTGATGTTGTACCTGTTGAAGTTGTTGGGTAGCGTAGATATCGAGAATGACAAGACGACGTCCCTCTCCATTTGGAATAGCCTATAGAAAATGAATGGAAAGTAGAATAGAAAAGAATTACGGATTGAATGATGTGATGGATGAATTGTTGGAAGAAATGAAGAGAATGGAGACAATCTGTCTCTTTCTCATAGATATGAGAGAAACGGAGGAGAGGGCAGTCGATTAGCTGAAAAGGGACGATAGAATGGGGCAGAGAGAGAGACAGAGAGAGACAGAGAGAGAGAGCGAGAGAGACCTTGATGAATGCATCCGTGTAGACGTCCAAATATTCTTCTGGAGTCAGTTTGACAACAGAGAGAAGAGCCTGCAACTAATCGAACAACGTTGATGAATAATACCTGTCCGGGAGTTGTTCCATCGGGGATCCAACAATCTAGCCTCAGATATCTGAATTGCAGTTGAATAGGTCTTTCTCCCTCTCTCTCTCTCTCTCTCTCTCTCTCTCTCTCTCTCTCTCTGTCTCTCTCTCTCTTTTTCTCTCACACACACACATTCTCTCCCTCTCTCTGTCTCTCTCTGTCTCTTTCTGTCTGCCTCTCTCTCCCTCTCTCTCTCTCTCTCTCTCTCTCTCTCTCTCTCTCTCTCTCTGTCTCTCTCTTTTTCTCTCACACACACTCTCTCCCTCTCTCTGTCTCTCTCTGTCTCTCCCTCTCTCTCTCGCCCTCTCTCTACCTCTCCCTCTCTCTCTCTCTCTCTCTCTCTCTCTCTCTCCCCACCTCTCATCACCCAATCTCGTCCCGGGCCCAAATACGGGATAAATGACAAAATTGTTGCGTCGAAAGAGATGAGAATTCCTCAATTGAATAATAGCTGGTGGTATATGCTAAATGAATAGTGTGTAATATTTCTGATCGAACTGACCATCTGTGGTGGCCATAATACATGGTGGACATCAATAGAGACACGTCTCGTCTTCATCTGCCTTGTTAATCTCTCGATTATTCCAATCCGAGCCATCCCTCCTTCGTCATCCCTAGATTGAAATGCTGTTTCCTCGGGAAAAAGAACTATACGCTGTTCCACCGGTCTTTTACGGACATAAGCAAAGTGCGTTGTTGAGTGCAACGCAAAACGTCTCTATAAATAGTTGATTCGATCA